TAGCTACTTAATATTACTGTACTTTAGTTATATGTTTGATTCTCTCTCTTTTAAACTAGGACTAATTCGGAAGAAGCTTTTCAACTAATATTTAAGAATTAAGATATTCAAGATTGATTTAGCCAGGTGTGGTAGCTTATGACTATAATCCTAGCACTCAGGAAGCTGAGGCAGGAGGATTGCTTTAAATCTGAAGCCAGTGTGGGCTACAGTGAGCCTCCATGCATAAAAAAAAGCTGGTTTAATGTGTCTAATTAGATGTGAGATAAATAATTTCTTAAAAACTATCGTAAACTTCTTGACTGGTTGATTGTAAAAGACACAAAGGTCTCTGTGCTCACAGATAAGCACTAGGGGAACCTGGAATGTTAGTACATAGGGTTGTTCCTTTCAAGTGATAGAACGCATAACCTCTTATCAACTCAGAAGGCTGGGAGCTTACCAGCCTTTGTGCTATCTGTGTGGCTAGACTTTTTAGGCACCTAACCCTCTCCCAGACCCTATGGTAAGCTTGTTTTTCTCGGTCAATCTATAGAATCCATCTTTATGAATTTTACAAAGAGTTTCTGTGTAGTTGTGTCTGATCTGCATTTAGCTTACTTTGTTCCTCAAGGGGATTTATGTGTGCTTTGTTGTATATGCAGGATTGATTAGTCATCACCAAATTGTGCTGTGCTTAAATATGCCAAAAATAAGCTACTTGGGGTCAGACTCCAGATGTCTGAACCAATACCCCAAACTGCCTTCTTGCTGTCCGAAGATCATCTCTCTGCAGGCTTGTGGGGGTCACAGAGATCCCCAGAACTGATGGTCATTCCCATCCCCACCCTACAAAACCAGTTTTTCTATCTAGGATTTTTGGTCTTCTTACTTAACCAGGCAGTCACAGTTATGCTATACAATGGATGATTTAGTTTTTAACAACAAAACCAACCAAGTTTTAAAAGCAAAATAAAATGGCATATGGAGCAAGGACATAAAATAAGTATTTGGGGAATGGAAGATGGCTTAATTTGTAAAGGTGCCTGCTACCAAGCCTGAGGACCCAAATTCAACACCCAGGACCCACATGGTGGGAAAGAACTGATTCCCCCAGGCTGTCCTCTGATTTATAGAGATGCAGGCGCGCGCGCACACGCACGCGCACACACACACACACACACACACACACACACACACACACAAACCCGGAGAAATGCCAGTAAATTTAGTGTACCCTAATGGATAGTGTTAAGAAAATCGGAAATAGTGCACTGTCCTATCCTAGACCTTAGAATTCACTGATCACTAGCTTACTAACCAACAGTAACTTTCAGTCTTGCAACCATCATTCAAACTAAATGCCTTTATGTAGGTCTATTATTGCTAATCCTTTTTAGTTATTTCTACTGTACTTGTTCTGTGTTTAAACACACAAATATTATCCATTATGTTACAATTGTCTAGAGCATTCCAATACAGATTTAGATGTCTATACAATAAGGCTATACAATGGCGGGTTTGCATAAGCCACCTCTCTAATGATCAACCACTAATACATTTCTCAAAACACACCTGTATTAAGAGATAAAACATGATTACAAAAACACGAGACGCATGACTGTACACAGGCTGAAGGCCAGTGTGTTCACTTTATGTGTATATAGAGTTGTGCAAAATAGGCCAGGTGGCGTACACCTTTAATCCCGACACTCGGGAGGCAGAGCCTGGCGATCAGGTTGGCCCAGAACTCACGGAAATAAGCCTGCTTCTGTCTTCTGAGTCCTGGGATTAAAGGTGTGTACCAGCACACCCCCCCTCCCCCCGCCATAATCTCAGATTTCTAAGTATTTTTTTCTGGATATTCCAAATTTTCATATATATCAAGGCATTTTAACTTTATGCCTCTTTGACACAAAGAGACTATGCTTCCTATCTGAATTTGCAAGGCCAAGAGACACATGGGTTAAGCGGCTTGTCCAAAAGGCTAACGTCAACGGAGCGAAGGGAACACAGCTCCCCTTACTCCTAGTTCCTCGTCTTTCTTTCTCTAATGATGTGACTGAGGTCAGCAATCCTCTATTGTCTTCTATTTAATGTGTATGTATCCGTGCATACATGCGCATGTGCATATAAAGGTCAAAGGACAACCGGCAGGGCCGGTCTCTCCTTCTACCCAGGGGTAGCAGAGATCAAACTCAGGCTGTCAGTCTTGGAAGCAAACGCCTTTACCCACTGAGCCATCTTACCCAGCCAGAGGTTAGTAATCTTTTTTTGTTTTTTTGAGACAGGGTTTCTCTGTGTAACCCTGGCTGTTCTGGAACTCACTCTATAGACCACGCTGGCCCTGAACTCAGAGATCCCCCTGCCTCTGCTGGGATTAAAGGTGTGTACCACCACCACCTGGCCTAATTTTAATGAATAGGAAAGGAGAATGGGGAAAACAGAAGATGAGACTGAATTAGTTAGCTGTTAAAAATACCCACAGGGTGGGGGCTGAAAAGATGGCTCAGTGGTTAAGAGCACTGACTGCTCTTCCAGAGGTCCTGAGTTCAATTCCCAGCAACCACACAGTGGCTCACAACCATCTGTAGTGAGATCTGGTGCCCTCTTCTGGCCTGCAGGGACACATACAGGCAGAATACTGTATACATAATAAATAAATAAATCTTAAAAAAAAAAAATACCCACAGGAGAATGACAGAACACAAGGGAGGGTAGGTAAGAAATGGAGGACTTACCACTCAACATTAACTTAGCAATGCCTTTGTACTAGACAAAGAGCTGGAATACAGTCACAAACATTGCTGCCATAGTAGTTCCCCATTTTACAGAATTTGAAGTTAAGCAGTAACGAGGCCATTAAGCAAATATACAAATTATGCAAGTATAGTGGTTATAAAGGGCAAACAGAAAAGTCACAGCATGCAACAAGTGTACACCCAAGCATTTCTGTCCTATTTCTAGCAATGACCCATTTGTTGTGGGAAAGGGCTGCAACTGTTATACACACATTAGTTCTTCAGTACATCAACTCTGAGAAGGATCCCTAATTGTCAAGACTACTTCTGCCAGCTTTATTATACAGGTCAGAAACTGTTACGGATCTTTCTTCATGAATGTAAAAGCTCTAACACTTGTCTTAATACCAGTACTCGACACTCACTCATTCTCTTAGAAACATTTACAGAATGCCTAAGTCTCATCAAATGCCAGGCTGCTGGACACTGAACACTAATTTACCCATGTCTTCTCTGTTGAACTGAGTTGCATTTTGCACCTGAAGAAAATTAGGAACCAGTGCCCTTGGGAGGAGTCTCTGGAGCTGGAGAGATGGCTCAACATTTAAGAGCACTTTTTGCTCTTGTAAAGGGTCCCAGCACCCAATGGTAGCTCATAACCACTTCTAACTCCAGTTCTAGGGGATCTAATGCCCTCTCCGGACTACCATGGGCATTAGGCACACTTGAGGTGCACATACATGTAGGTAGGCAAAATACTGGTACACACAAATGATTCTTTATGTGTACCCAAAGACATTTCATCTAATTAAAAACCTTGTCTACTCCCAAATATAGACAATTAAGTCCACATCCTCGGAGACAGGTGAACTTGGGAGTCTACTTGCTGTCATGTTACCAGAGTTTTCTGATATTACGTTTGAAGACTTTAAATTGACAATGGAATGCATACAAAGACTCCCAGAACGGAGATATATATATATATATATATATATATATATATATATATATATATTTTTTTTTTTTTTTTACCAAAATCACATGATCTCAACAAGTTCCTTTCTTTCTTGTAGTGGCCAAAAGACCCAGCAAACTTCAGTCCCCAAATGGCATACAGTGACACACAATTCCTAGGTAGGATCTTTCTAAACAACTTCAGATGGACAAACTCCTGAGCTGCTTTCACCAATCAAGGGGTCTCATATAAGCTACAGAAGTTCTGTAATTCTAAACAATTCCATAGCAAGTAGAGTCACTTGATCTATCTGAAGACAGGACATGTAAGTTGTAGACTTGAATTAAAATTAACACCAGGAACTCCACATCAGGCTCCTAAAAACTTACTTTCTCCTGAAAGTAGTTTGCTGACAAGTTATAAATTTCCACCGTGCCATCTGTTCGCGAAACAGCCAATCTGTTTGACTGGTTATTGTAAGCCACACAGCGGATGCCTGATGGAACATAATTAAAGAAACGTACTCGATGGACCTTAAATTCACCCATTCCTGGGGGGATAAAAAAGACATTGTTACACATTAACTGGAGAATCTACCATGCATTCAATTGTATTAACATCACTGTTGGATGGGAGATTTCAAAGATCTCTCACTTAAGTTCATTTCTAAAAATGCTGTTGTGCCCCAGCAAGGCTCAACCTCCAGAAACTCAATACGGATGCTTCAATAAATTAACCCCCAAAGGCCTACTCCATTCCTTATCTTTCTAACCTATTGGAGGAGGAAGAGAGTTTGAAAATGGGCATTTTGGCAAGAATGCTAAACTCTTTACTAAGTTTGCAAATGACAGATCCACTCTAAGCGACTCGAGGCTGATGGGGGAGGGGAAGGAAACGCACAGCACAAGTGGGCAGCGACAGGACTTGGTGATTTTTCCCTGCCTGCCTGATCTAGCAGCTATGCCGTGCACTCCTACTGAGAGTGGAACTTGCTCGACCCTCACTCGTCTACTCTCGAGGTTAGGAAGACACAGGCAGTGCGGGCACGTTCTGAAGAGCAAGAGGTGTCCGCCACCCCTGCCCTCTCCTAAGTCCACGGAGTGACTTCCACTCCTCGGAACCGGCTATCTGACAAGGTCCGCGGGCCCCCGACCCCGGGTGAGCAGCACCCCCTCAGAACCCACTGTCCCAGCCGCCGCCAGAGGTTCTTCCCGAACTCACCTACCTACCGCCCGGCACTCGCTAGCCCGGACCTCGCCTCTCTCCGCCCCGGCCCCACGTGCGCGCGCGCGCTCTCCGGCTCTGTCCCGGAAGTACTTGGCGGAGCGAGGCCGGAAGTGCGCAGGCAATGCTCGCGGCGGCGGCGACGGCGGCGGGAGGTTCGGTTGTCGCCCGTTGGCCGCGCGGCGCCGCGCTCGGCGGCCGCCATTGCAGGTCAGGCCGCGGGTGGGGGGCGCGGGAGGCCGCGGGGAATGAGGCCGGAGGCGGGAACCGGGGCGAGAGCGCGGAGGAGCGGCCAGCTAGGGAGCCGGGGCCGGGCGGGGCGCGCGGCTCGGGGAGAAGAATGGCGAGCGGAGGGGCGGGGAGCGGGCGGGGGAGGGGCGCACGCCGGGCCAGGGAGCTAGAGGGCCGCGGGGGCCGAGGCTAGCCCTCTGCGGGCCGGGGGAGCTTGGGGCCGATGAGCCGTACAAGGACGGAAGGAAAGGAGCGAGCGAGCTGGGCGGAGTGGGAGAAAGGTGGAAAGACTGGCGGAGCGCGGGCGGAGGACGGAGCAGGGGGCGGCGCGGGCCGGATCCTCGAGGTATGTGCGGGGAAAGGGGCTCAGTCCCCCGTCGGGAGGCCTCCTAGAGCAGAGTGGACCTGGAACCCAGAAAGAAGCGGGAATGGCAGAAGGAGACTTAAATGGGTGTTGGGCGGAGCTGACAGAAATGGGAGGCTTGTTCCAGGGGACATTTATTTTAAATCATGGTGGGGGGGGGGAGAGGAAGTTGCTGGGAGACATTATTTGGAGGGTAGTGGCAAAGTGATCTCGGGTGCTTTGTGGGTGGAGTGAAGCCTAGAGTTGAGGAGGGTGGTGTCCTAGAGAAGCGGGACTGGGAACAATTTTAGATAGTATTGAATGGTAGAGGAAGGTAGGTAGTTGAAAGAGGAATCTTGGGGAGGAGGATAAAGGATTTGAAGACTGGTGGGGGCTGTGGAGGAAAGCAGTTTAAATAGAGTGTGTGTGTGGGGGGGTAGTTTCTTAGGGAGGTAGATGGAGGGCTAAACACCTTGGTAAAACAGTTCCACTAGTAGTCTGGGATAATTTGAAGGGAGTTGAAAGCGGGGAGAGGGAGTTCCAGAAAGTGGGTGGGCTTACAAGTAGAGTTTGTCCAGTTGAAAGAGTGGGAGGGGGTACAAGGGTGGAGGAGATAGAAGAAATGAGAGAAGAATCTAGCAAAGAGGGGGAACCTCCCTCACAACTGCCGCGCGGCCAGAAAGGGTTGGGAGGAAGAGACTGTAATGCCAGGAAATGGAGGAAAGGTTGAGATGGGGTGGCAGAGTAGCAGAAGATGGAGAACACCGGAGTAACTCAAATCGACCGAAGCCATCTTTTCTACCCATTGTCTACAAATAACAGTAATTGATTCCCTCCAATGGAGGAATCCTACCACGTGATGGGAACGTACCACGTGTATGCATAGTATCTAAACACGTTTTGAAAACATTCTTCACTAATGAAAAGTTCGGAAGCATTCAGTTCCATATCCCCTCCACAGCCCCTTTTTGGAGGGGAGCAAGTGTCTCACTTAAAGTAGTTTAGACTTTAACCCCATCAAGGTCCCCTTAGAAATTAGGATCAAACATTCCCTCCAGTCACAAAACCACCATGACACTGGTAATAAAAGTGATTTGTATTCAGTCATATATAAAACTTCCTCGATTGTTCATTTGGCAGAAAGGCACATAGAGAAATAGTTGTCATATTTAGAGAAATGACCTTCTAGAGCTTAATTACTGAAGCAGTTTGGTAAACCATGACTATAGTGTTTGAATTGTTCTCCAGTCATAAAGTGGATTTTGATGACCTGTTTTTATAGGCTGTTTTTATTCATTGTAAACATTGACAATAATTGTCAGTGTGGTATTAATGACAGTGACATATACTAAGAAATATATTTAACTTTTTTATGCTTTAAAATGGCTAAACCATTTTGCCCTAATTTTTGAAAAAATGAATTTTAGAGTGTAGTTGGAAAATTACAACGGATTCCCTTTAAAACAGGGAAAACCAAAAATACTGGTAGAGGTAATGCCTATCCTGTACATTGGTTTAATCCACAGCAGAAAAAGTGAAAGACAGCACAAGATGTTTAGATGTGTTATAATGGACTTTTTTGTTTGTTTGTTTCCAGACAGGGTTTCTCTGTGTATCCCTGGCTGTCCTGGAACTTGCTCTGTAGACCAGGCTGATATAATGGACCTTTATAAAAAAACATTCTTTAGTCCTAGAAAATTTTGTATGTTGTTAAATCATTAAATCACCATCCTTTGTTTTTCTATTTGTATGATTAGCTATATATATATATATATCATAATCACATTTTATTTTGGGAAGTTAATGGAGGGTCATTGATCAGGCTGTTCTCCAGAATATTTATATATGTAATCCTTTATATGTAATGATTTAGAAAGCAGAGGGTGAGAATTGAGTTTGGTCAGAGATTAAAAGGAACCTATGACAAAATTGTCCTCAGTCCTCGTGGCTTTTCCTCAATGAGGGCCAGAGGTTTAGGGTATAATTTTGAATCTTGAAAGTGGCATTGAATTTGACTTTTAAAGGTTTCAGAAACCTAAATGTGGATAATAGCTAGCTTAGTTGTTAACTACTTTGATGTATTAGCTTGGATTATTAGCTACATTTGAGACAAGTTACAAGGTTGCAGCTTTGTAGAAGGAGGCCAGTTGCAAGGCAGCTAGATCTCAGAAGTACTGTGTGAGAAGGGGCTAGTGAGAGGACCAAAGAAGGACCATACTGAGGAGTGGTTAGTGTCACATTACCTTTACTACTTACTAGTATGTGACCAGTTGCTTAACCTTTGGCTTTTCTTTTCTTTTCTTTTTTTTTTTTTCTCGAGACAGGGTTTCTCTGTGTAGCTTTGCACCTTTCCTGGAGCTCACTCCGTAGACCAGGCTGGCCTCGAACTCACAAAGATTCGCCTGGCTCTGCCTCCCAAGTGCTGGGATTAAAGGCGTGTGCCACCACCGCCCGAACCTTTGGCTTTTCTAATCCTGCTTACCTATCAAGATTGTGATGACCATGTAGGATGAAAAGAGATAATCAGTAAATGTTCCAAAAGATTAGCGATATGAGAGCTCTTTTTATATTGGATAACACTGCTGCTTTTCTAAACGAGCCAAATCTTAGACGACCTAGAAATGGTAGTTATCTCTTAGTGTTAGGATGAAGTGAGACTGAAGACTCAGAAATTGATGCCTTACAGAGAATTTTCATTGTAATGTTTTTGTTCTTTGTTACTACTAACAGAATTTGGCTTGTTATAGGTTAAGCATTATTCAATTCACAGGAGAAGTGCTTCAGATTTTGGAATATTTGCATCAATTTAGCAGATGAGCATATTTAAACTGATAAATCTGAAAAAACCTGAAATTTGATACTAGTGCCCTGATCTGCTTTCAATTTTTCATATTTGGTAGCATTTCATGTTTTCAGATTAGAGGTATTCTGCTCCTACTATACTTGACCTCCTCTTTTGCAGGTTTTTTTCTCCTGCCTAGTCTCAAGGAGATAGGTACAGATTAAGATGCTCACTGTCATACTCATTTTTGTTTTTAGAAACAGGATCTTACTGTGTAGCTGGGTAGGAATTCAGTCTTCCTACCTCAGCCTCCCAAGTGCAGGGATTACGGATGTGTACCACCACAGCTGGCTTTTAATAGCTTTTTGAATAAAATACATGCTGACTGGAGTACATGTTCACACTCCGTCAGCTGTATCCTCAGTTCAGCACTTAATTTAGCCCTGTGGATAGTTGTCTAGTGATCTCAAGGAGCAAGCAAAGGACTAATAGAGTTTAGATGGTGCAGGAAATGTTAAGGCATGAAAGTAGAATTTCAAAATTTATTAGAATTTAAACATTCCCCAGTGTTTCTTATTTGGTAAATATAACCTCATATACACAAATCAATAAATATAACCGTATCAGTACATAGGTGCATCCAAGCTAGACTGACCCACAGAGCTTGTATTTCTTTTTTCTATGTATGTAAAGCACCTAAGTAGATTTATCATAAGCTTTTACAGGCTTGATGGGGTACAGCAACAGAATATCCAAGCTGTGTGCTATAGAATTACTATTTTCCAGGGCATTGCCAGATGTTTGCCAGTATCAATAGAAATAGCTCAGGCAAGGCCTCCTGCATCTGTGTATAAAGATGTATGTTTTCAACTGAAGCCCCATGGGTAGGTATGCAAGTGCCACTTCTTAGTCCATTGTTGTTAGTTCTTACCCAGGAAGCAGAGAATGCATTGAAAATACCTTGTATCCACATTGTCTCTAATCTTATCTCATTCCTGTGAATAAAAAGCACATAAACATTGAAATTAGTTTTCAGGAAGTGTGGTATTTTGGTACATGTGTATGATGTATGTATGCAAATGTGAATATGGAGGACAACCTTAAATTCAGTCCTTGTCTTATACCTTGAGACAGTGTCTTGGTGGTGGTTTCACTGCATACCTTCAAGTTTTTAAGGGTTTGTTTGCCTTTACTCCCATCTCACAAGGCCACTGCCATTTCAGGTGCTAATGCTGCATGTTTAGTGTTTTCATGAGTTCTGGAGATTTGAACTCAGGTACTCATGCTTGCATGGCTGAACCTACTGAACCATCTCCCTAGTCCCAGGAAGTAGGTTTTATCTTTTTCCTATTCTTGGACTATGCTGTTCATTTACATGACTTACCTGTCAATTTCCTTAGACCACCTTATTTTGCTGTAACTTACACTTCTCATCATACACTGACTGAATTGTCAGTTATCAGAAGCTTATTTGAAAGAACTTGGTGTGCAGCACTGGCCTTTTACAATCTGTGTATTGCATACTTGATGAATTATTGAGACTTTTTTATTAAGGAATTTTTTATTCATTTTTAGATACCACAGATCCTCCCTCTCTTTCCTCTTCCTGCCCCTCCAGCCTTCGCCCTGACAACCCACCTCACGTAAGCTGAATTGCTTACTTCACAATCTGAAAAATTAGCTGTTCTCAATAGGTTATGAGTCTAAGCAGTCTTGCATGTGTTATATTTAGTCATGACTCTAGTGGTCATAACCTAGGTGTTAGCCCCTAGTCATTTAGTGACCTGTGTGTGATCATACAGTAGCTTTCCACTTTACAAGCTAGAACCTGAACTTGAGCCTTTTGAATTTGGATTGCTATCCTTTTACTTCAGAAGTGCTTTGGAAGTAGGCCTTAGTGCCACATGCCTTTGATTCAGTGCTCAGGAGGTTCAAACAGAAGGATTGCAAATTCACAGATGGACCTTGTCTCAAAAAACTACTTAGGTTAGTGTCTTCCACTGGTCTTGTTTGAAGCTGATAAATTGCCTTTTCTTGGGTGGGGCCACAACCTATTTTGGTGCAGAAGCCTAACTTAAAGTTCTAGTCTTGCTGTTGTGAACAGCACTTAAATATGTTGTCACTGAGTGCCTAAATGCCTTTTCATTCTTGCTGGCACTTGGTTTTGTCCTCTGGGAAGGGAAAATCAGGTAGTGATTTTAAGTAAGTTTTTTAAGTTTCCTGTCTTGGCTTTTTTTATACTCTAGTTGAATATGTGCCATATATGAATAAGTGATTTTATCTGTGTATGACCCAGTATCTTCAACTGTAGGAATGAGTACCTCTTATTAGAGTTGCCATGTTGATTAAAATACCATGTTCACATGTGTATAGCATGTGGTCCATAGTGACAATTCAAAATCTGTTAGCTGCTGTTTTTGGTGCTCTGGGAAGAGGTTCTGTCAAAATACAAGCCTACTGGAGGTCCAGAGTGGCGATAACCAGTAAAAAAACCTATTAAATGGCATGCTGGTGCCAGCTGTAGTCCTAACTCTCTGGAGGCTGAGGCAAGAGTAGATCTAGAGTCCCAGGCCAGCCTTAGTTGTGTTGCAAGCCCTTGACTTAAACAGGAAAAAACAAAAAACTGGGGAAAAAATCCTGATTAGTGTTTTTGCTGTGTTTGAGTACAATTATAATACCTTTTACACCATGGTTGGTAACACTATATGTTGTCTCATTCAAGAGACAACCAGAAACTAGCTTTGGTCCCCCAGTCCAGTCAATCTCAGTCTCTTCCTGAATGGCAGGCACAAGGGCAAATAAAGCCAGGTGGCATCAAGCTTTTAGGGTACTCAAAATCGCCACCAGGTGGCACTGTTGTATAGCGTGAAAGTGTAAGTATTTTTCACATCTAAGGGAAAGGTGGTCACTAGTTGAGAGTCACATTAGAATGGCATGTGTCTTTCATTCCATGACTCAGGAGGCAGAGGTGGATTTTGAACCTGCTCTGCACAGTTCCAGGGTAGCCAGAGTTACATAGTGAAACCCTCTCTCTCAAAAAAAAAAAAAAGAAAGAAAAAAGAAATTGCTGGGCGGTGGTGGCACACATCTTTAATCCCAGCACTCAGGAGGCAGAGGCAGGCAGACTCTGTGAGTTGAGTCCAGCCTGGTCTGTAGAGAGAGTTCCAGAACAGGCTCCAAAGCTACACAGAGAAGCCCTGTCTGAAAAAAACCAAACCGAAAAGAAAAAAAGAAAGAAATCACCTTATGATTTGCTGGAGTATACCTGAGTGTATCACAGTCCAGCTGTTGTTGTCAGCAGCTGCACTCTATATGTCCAGAGTCAGCAAGGAGACTGAGCCCTTGTTATGGCATTGCTAGTAGAGAACATGTCTAAAAGCACTTAGAAAAGTGCCTGTCACACATTGGGCTGGGAATGTAAAACCTTTAAAACTCGGTTGGTAGAGTGCTGGCCTAGCGTGTGTGAAGCCCTGGGTGAGGTCCCTAGCAACACATAAGCTGGAGGTAGAGGCAGGAAAATCAGAAATTCAAAGTCATCCTCAACTACATGAAGAGTTCAGGGACAACCTGAACTAGAGATCTCCTCTCAAGAGGAAAAGGTACCTATCACACAGTTAAATGGTAAATATTAGCTATAATTATTGTTGTCCTAAAGGTGTTTTTTTCTTTTTTCTTCAGTTTTTCAGTTGCTTTTTTAAAGAAGGAAGGCTCATGGTGCAAATTGTTATTTCCAGGTGAGTATGTTTTAAAATTTTACTTCGCTTGAGTGTCAAGGGCTATCCTGGTTTCACACTGTTATGGAAGAATTAGGGTCCCCGGGTATATCTTACATAAATATTTGCATTAAGATCTCTATTTCAGTTCCCAGCACTGCCCAATTTCCCAAGAACTTGTATTCAACAAAGAGCTCCTTTGGGCCTCTGATGGTGGTGTAGGTGTAGGAGACTACTCATCCTTCACCACTCAAAAATATTGTAACCGCCAGCCCTTTGCTTGCAGTACGGGGGCTGGAGGCCTGGCAGAATGGGTGCTGATGGAACTACAGGGGGAGATCGAGGCTCGCTACAGCACCGGATTAGCTGGAAACCTCCTGGGAGACCTACATTACACCACTGAGGTGAGGGGTCTTTTTTTTCCCTGCCTTATGCCTCAGTAAAGCAAGCTACACCAAGGTGGTGCTCCCAGGCCCCAGTGTGAGGACTGTCCTCGGGTTTGTTGCTCGAGGGTTAGCCAGTCTGCAGAGCTGTCCGCTTGCTGTTCTCCCACCTCTGCAGTAGCAGGGAAATGGAGCCTTGGGCAATCTGCAAGGGTCCTAAAAGTGGAAATGCTCTTTACATGGGGCTGGAAAGAATAGAAAGGGACAAGGGTGGATTGTCTAGTACGGGACAGATTAGGGACTGAGAGGTGCCAGCATTCCTGCCAAGAGCAGCTTTCAAAGGCACCTGAGGAATGGCGTTGCCCTCAACCTCAGGCATCTCCTTCTTGTTCTGCCAAAGGGAATCCCTGTGCTGATCGTGGGGCATCATATCCTGTATGGGAAAATCATCCACCTGGAGAAACCTTTTGCAGTCCTTGTCAAACACACTCCTGGGGAGCAGGACTGTGATGAGCTTGGTCAAGAGACTGGCACTCGGTACTTGGTGACAGCACTCATCAAAAACAAGATTCTTTTCAAAACTCGCCCTAAGCCTATTATCACCAACGTTCCCAAGAAAGTATGAAAGAACCCCGGATTTTCCTTAGAGAGCGGCCAACTCCTTGGACTCGTGCTCCGTTGCCACCTCGAGGACGGCTGGACGGTTCCCTGGGACCACAGGGAGGGCCTGTTATGAACACAGGCCACCCAATGGGTGTGAACTCGGATCCTTTCCTTATGGCAGCAGGATCTCTTGGTGGAAACCTGGCTCCGTTTCCAAGGAATCCAACTTCTTTTCCAAGTTCATCAGGCTCATTGGCTTCAAATCCAGCACATTTTCCTGCTGGTGCTCGTGACCCAAGCATGGCTTCTTTCCCAAGAGGGATGAACCCCACTGGCACAGGTGCAGTTTCTTTCCCAAGGCCAGGTGGCCTTTTGGGACCGGGACCAGGACCGGGACCAGGACCAGGTTTAAACCCTAGAACAGGGGCTCTTCCAGGCCCAGGGCCTATGTCTAACCCCAGATTAGGGGGGCTTCCTGGCCCTGGTCCTATGGCCAACCCAAGGGCAGGTGGGCTCCTGGGAGTAAGTCCTGACCCCAGAAGTGGTGGCCCTGTGGGCCCTGGATGTGTACCCAACCTGAGGGCAGGTGTTTTATCCTCTGGTACTGGTCCTCCCAATCCTAGGCCAGTCGGCATGGGCCCTGGACCAAATCCTAATCTGAGATCAAGCTTTTTAGGTACAAACCCGGCTCCTAGGTCAGGTATGTTTCCAGGCCCAGGCCTGGGGCCTAACCCGAGAGCTGGTGGCTTAGGTCCAGGCCTTGGACCCAACCCGAGAGCCGGTGGCCTAGGCCCAGGCCCAAATCTGGACACCAGAGCAGGTGGCCTCTTGGGTACAGGATCTGGTCTTAACTTAAGAATGGCTGGACCTCAAGGCTTAGATCTTGCCCCTATTCTAAGGGCAGCAGGTCTTTTAGGAGCAAATTCAGCTGCTTTCTCGCAGGCTTCTGGAAACATGGGCACAAACCCACCTAACATGACAAGAGTACCTGGCCCCATAGGCCCAAACACGGGTCCTAGCTCTCGAGGAATTGGCCTTCCGGGGCCAAATCCCTCTGCCATGGCAAGGGCTCCTGGCCCCATGGGCCCTAATTCAGCTCATTTCTCAAGGCCAGGGGGCCCAATGGGGGTAAATGCTGGAGCCTTTCCAAGGGGGACAGGATCAGGAGGACTGAACCCAGCTGCCTTTTCTCAGTCTTCTGGCACATTGGCTTCAAATCCAGGTACCTTTCAGAGGTCTGCTGGTCTCCAGGGCTCAAATCCAGCAATTTTCCCAAGAGCCTCTGGGCCACTAGGCCCCAACCAAGCTAACTTTCCAAGGGCCACTGGCCTGCAGGGTCCAGGTCCAGCTGCCTTCCCGAGGTCTGCTGGTCCATTAGGCCCGGGTCAAGTTGCTTTCCCACGGTCAGCTGCTGGGCACCTGGGCTCTTCTCCAGCAGGCCCTGTGGGTATCAACCCAGCTCCTTTTGCAAGACCGACAGGGACCCTGGGTCTTAACCCAGCTTCCTTTCCAAGGATGAATGGCCCTGTAGCCAAGAGTTTGGTCCCTTTTCCTAGGGTAGGCAGCCTCCCTGGTTCAAATCCAGCTGCTTTCCCCAGACCAGGGGGTCCAATGGCTGCGATGTACCCAAATGGAATGTTACCCCCCCTTAAATTTTACATTTTTCTTCCAGGGCCACTTTGTTTTTCCAGCACTGTGGTTCTGGGCTGGGGCTGTCTCTTAGATAAAGAGTAGATCTGGAACTACACACAGTCTGAAGAACACAGCCGGGGCTCAAGTTCGAATGAGCCGCCTTTTCCCTCTGCTTTTCCCTTGACTGAAGGCAAAATGTTGCTTGTGAGACACGGGCTGTGGCAGGTAGGGTGATCCTGGCTCAAGAAGAAGGATCTCTGGCCTTCTGGAAGCCTGCTGTGCTTTTGACCCACAGCTGTCTGCTCCCTGTTTCTCACCAGTTTCCTGAATTGTTCTTGTGGACTTTTCCTCAGGGATACATTGGCTGCAGGTCCTAACTCCCCGCTCCCCACTGGAGAATTGGCTCACTTGCTGTCTAGTGATGCTGCATTGGTGAGCGGACCATGCTTCAGTAACTGACCTGGGCATCCTGGACCTGGCCATGTCCTACTGCCAGACCTTTCCCTGGGGGCTTGAACACAGAATGTTGAGGTGGACACTCAAGTCACAGACCCACCACATTTCTGCTAGACTGGGCCTGCAGCTCCTTTCTCCTGGGACTTAGGTGGCCAGATTTAAGGCTCCTCTGATCATCCAGCTCCCTCTCACACTGGTACTCCCAATCACAGAACCTCAAAACGTAAACTGATGTGGAGGGGAATTGGGGAATTGGGGTGGGGGTGGAGGGATGAAAGGGAGAATCACTGTGCTTTGTTCAGCCTGATGTGAAGGATGATTGGTGTTTTCCTGCATTGTATCTTTTCTTACTGTTTCTTTAATAAATGGGATGAGAGGGCTGCTGTTGTGACTCCATTCTGTCCTCTCTTCCACAGCGGCACGTTTAATCCCCGCTTGTCTTTGTTTTGGTGTGACAACAGCGCTATATTTCCTGCCGTCCAGCATGCTTGCATTGGAGGGAGCAAGCTTTGGTTTAGCTCCCATTCTTCTCTTTCTGTTTTGTGGAGTAATTGGAGGAGCACTGGCAGTTTTTGGTTGGGAGAGTTTTCATCTGATAGTTATTTCATGAGACTCCGACTCACTGATGCTGCACATGCATGAATGCTCATGAGCAGGGTCGGATCAGGGTGGCCTCAGTGGCTTGATTTCTGAAATGGATGTACCTGTGACACTTTACCCTGTTTTTGAAATGTTTTTAAATCAGCATTTTTAACTTTGGAGTGGTGTGTGCACACTTGTGCTGGTGACGTACATGTGGAAGTCAGAGGGACAATTGAGGGGTGGGTGGGGCAGTGGATCCCAAGGATCGAACTCAGGTCATCAGGGCTATCAGGAGAAGAGCCCAGGTGCCCAGCAGCTGACCTTGGGAAAGTAGTAGTGGGTACCTTTTACTCTGAGCCATCTTGCTGGCCTCTTCCCCTACTTCTGAATTGTACTGCTGCCATTTCTACCATTAGTCCTTTTAAAACTAGAGAAGAGGAGCCAGGTGTATTAAGTACAGGAGGACATAGTTCTGAGATCCCAGCTGTTTTTTTACATCTGAACTGTGCCTCTAACCTCATGTGTTGAAGGCTTGGTCTCCAGCGAGGCTCTTTGATGGAGGTAGGAGGTGGATTCTTGAACATCACTGGAGAAGCAGCTCTGTTGATAGTCATGCTTTCAGAGCTAATTGGGAAGTGGTGCAGACTTGAGGAAGCAGAGCAGAGCTGGAGAAAGTCAAGTCACTGTGACCATAGCTTGAGGGGTGTGTTTTGTCCCTAGCTTCCTCTAGCTCTCTGCTTCCCTGCAGCTTCTAGGTGAGTAAATTTACTTGAGGACAGGCTCCCTTTTATGATACTCTGCCTCACCATGTACCCAGAAACGGAGTCAATTGATAGGATACCAAAATGTGAGCCCCAGGGAACCTTTCCTCCTGAAGTTCACTTTGGTACTTTTGTCACAGCAACGGACACACCAGCATTATGTAAGGGTTTTTATTTTGTTAAGTGCAGTAAAAAAATTGTTGACCTGAAAACAACAAAAAAGCTAATCTCCAAGAACGATGAAAAGGACAATGCCAGAAGCAGCCGCTCATGGTTGCCAGCACCAGGTTGGCAGCTGCCTTGTCACCTGGAATTGTTGGCATTTTGTGTCATCAGGGCTTGGTGGGCCCAATAAGGCCAACTTAACACTAACTATGGGGTCATCAAGCTCCTCTGAGAGAAAGGTGGCTAGGACCAGTGGTGGCTGGCCAAGGCACCATCAAGCTGCCATAGCAACATTAGGAGTACAAGAAACAGCACCAGAATGGCACCTGTGGTGAGCAAGAGGTGGAGGTGTGTGGGTGTGTGGAAACTCAGGTCCCTAATGGTGCTGCACAGTACTCTGAGCAGTGGAGAAGCTAGAAAGTGTGAAGACTACTGAGGCCCATCCAGCTCAGGAGATGCTATTACTTGGCATTGGAACAGCCAGGTCCAGCCAAGTTGGGGTTGAAACTCTTGAAGATCAGTGTTAAGAAAGAGGAGCTTGCCGGGCAGTGTTGGATCCAGAGTGAGATCCAGGTCAGGCACCAAAACTACACAGAGAAACCTGTCTCAAAAAAACCAAAAAAAGAAAAAAAAAAAAAAAAAAAAAAAAAAAGAGGAGCTTAAAGCAGCCAGTGTTTCAATCCCATGGCCTTTAGAGAAGAGCTACAAGAAAGGCCTTCCTGAGCCAGAAGTTGGGGGAGGGTGAGCCCTGCGTGGGAACACCACAGCTTGGATGGTGAGGAGCCCCAGAAGGCTCGCCAGAGGACAGCTGGTGGAGGAGCTAGATCAAGAGATGGGTGTCAGGCCGGGCGGTGGTGGCGCACGCCTTTAATCCCAGCACTCGGAGGCAGAGGCAGGCAGGTTCCTGTGAGTTCAAGGCCAGCCTGGATTACAGAGGGAGATCCAGGACAGACTCCAAAGCTACACAGAGAAACCCTGTCTTGAAAAACCAAAAAAAAGAGATTGGCATCATTGCTGGTGGAGGAGTTTGGGTAGAGGATGTACAGTGCTTGAGACCCGCAGGACCTCACTGAAGAGCATGCATTAATTCCAAGGAGAGACTGATGTTTACCTTTAAGGACAAAGGGGGTGCTGCCAGAGGAGATGTGCTGCTGGTGATGTGGACCTGGGGATAAAAAGTCGGCTGAGAAGAATGTGGAACTGTGGAAGGGGTCCTAGCACCTGCTTTGCACCGAGCCTCACCATGCAGGTGGTTTTGACACACAAAATCTTTGCTCTTTGGTAGCCAAATAAGATGGGGATTGGAGAACTGGCTAGACACCTTCCATGTGAGCTAGAGTGGTACTCCAATGGTCTCATGAATGAGAACTGCAGAGAACTGGGTCGGCCTGCAACTACAAGTTCAGCAGGGCCTCAGCTCATCTGAAGTATTCCACACTCGAGATGGTGACCTTTGAGATGACTAAGCAGAAAGGGAAGGTCTGTTTAGCCTCTTGAACAGTAGACTCACAAGGGGGACTTAAGTTCCATACTGCTGGGCAAAGGTCAGCACCAACTACCCAGAGTGGAGAGGTGGTCCTGGAGAAAGAGGAAGCCCGTATCTTCAGTCTACATCCTCACATGATGCTGGAGTAGAGAACATAGACATCAGCAAGAAGAATGACAGGTGGAGCTCTGCTATCAGTGTCCCGGAGGTGCAGAAGGAGAAGGCCGAGTTAAAGCAGCTGGGGTGGGAGGGGTGAGGGACATTGGTTGTGGCCCCTGCAATGACTGCAGCGGCTATAAGACAGAATCAAGAAAGATGGTAGAGCTTGTGAAGCAGGAGAAAGATCATCCTGAGAAGGGGGTCCTGGTAGAGCTCTGCTGCACTCTATGAAGAATTCCCACCTATGGTATATCTGGCCACCTGGAGGAACAGGAGCAGCTCCTGGATTTGAGTTAAATAAGGATCATATCCTTAGTGAGAATGCTTTCTAAATAGTCAGGGAAAACTTGAGCTGGAGCATGAGCAGCCTGCATAAGCAGCAGCAAGAGTTCTCAACCTCCTCGGCCATTCCTGGACAAGGAGCTTCTTGGGAAAAGAGGGCAGTCATAGTCCCTTTGCTGGATCCCGCAGTACGGAGGATGGCCCCGGCATGTTGCCACCCCTAGCCATGCACAGCATTGAGAACAAGATCATTAAGTATAGAAAGCAAAAGGACTGCCATGGCTTCATCTAAGACTTCAAGGAGAGGGATGGCTATAAGTCCCATGTTAAGGTTGCGTACATGGATATGTAGGCTAGAAACAAAAATCCAAGGAGGTTTTCCAGAAGCCATACCGCTGCTTCAATCTGAAGGACTTTGACAAAATGAAGCTAGAGCTCCGGCTGCACACTTCTGCACTGTGACTGCCTCAGAGGCAAAAGGCCCATGCATTGTGCTCAGTGGCTGTGCCAAGAACATGATATGAACATTGTCACCAAGTAAAGCCACCTCCCTTCTGGTTCCCTCCCACCCTTAATGTTAAATAAAGTTCCCTCCTTATTTAAAAAAAGCAGGTAAAAATAAATATGTTTACAAATTGTAGAAATAATACAAAAGAGGCTGAAATTGTCAATGAGGAAAAACCAAAATGAGTCTCATTGTATAAAGGCTCCTCCCTCGTAGAACAGGGATCCAGCTGTAGAGTCAGTTTAGTTTTGCTGCTGAAAAACCTACAAAATAAATTAGAAAGTCCAGTCGAGGTCAAATGTTGTAAGCTCACTGCTGTCTCTGCATCTTTAATCTGAGGAGAGGCGAGCACAGTACAAGACAGAGGAGCTGACGGTCGGACAACCAGTTTTCATCCAGAGTCCATTGTCCTGTACTAACCTTCAAGTAGAAGAAGCTGAGGAGAAACACCCTTAGTGCAGTCAGCCCTGTGCTTGGCTGACTGGATTGCCTCCATTGCAGTGTTCAAAATAGTTCACTTCTTAGCAGAAGGGCCCAGAACAACCGCCTTTAAACAAACGGCTGCTGCTGCTTCCCGGCCACCATTAGTTGGGCTTGACATCAGCCAGCAATTTTATTGGAAACTTGAGGTCTGTGTGCTGTGGCAACTGTAAGCTACACATGGAAAACCCTTGTGTTCATGAGAGGAAGGGAAATCCCAGGGTTTGCCCATCTGTGGTTCAGAGTGCACATCATTCCTGTGTAGGAAGCACCTGTGTACACTGTTCTCCACCTTAGGGTTGGTTCTGAGGGGTTAGCTGGCCCCTGTGAGAACAAATGTTTGGAAAATGTAGAAGCAACCCCTAAAGTCAAAGGCTTAGTCATGATCCCAGGTTTTAGATCCAAAAGCTAAGTCTGGTCTGGATTTCAAAACGATATAAAAAGCTCCTCATCACTCCCCAAAAGAAGAGGGGAAATCAAGCAGCTGTGAGGGGGTGAGGGGAGTGCTGAAGTGACTGGAGACTGCTGGACCAGTTCCAGCTCCTGTTGGTTTTTCTGGACTGAAGCAGCAAATGGAGGAGTATCCATTACCTGGCCATAGGATTCCTTGGAGAAGCCACTGAGGAGAATGGATGGTCTCAAAGATGACCAACTTGGATTTGAGGGTTCGTTTGGGCTTTCCACTGGGGATGATTGTCGAGAACAGGTATCTGAAGTCACACATGCTAACCAGCTGCCAGGTACTGACAGTTGTAAGATGAGGAGCAGTGTGGTCAGAAGTGATGTTCTTTCCATGCATGTCGGGAGCAGCCTTGTAAGTCTTGTAGGTCTTGTAAGAGTTCGTGCTCTGCCACGTGAAGAAACTTACTCATGAAAATGGAGAGGGGACTGCTGCCCCCCCCCATAGAAAACAACAACTAAGAACAACTATGTGCCATTGAAGAAAATGAAATATCGAGTAGGAAGTCTAGCCTCGGATCAGAGCTGAATTTGAGAGGAATCAGGTATGAATGAGCCAAAAAACTAAGACTTCCCTGAACACATTTGAACTTCCTGGTAGATTTGATCTGCCCAGCAAGGTCTCTTGACAGTTTTGGAATCCTTGTAAAAGTCTGAGCAGTTTCCAGTTGGAACACATTCAGTCCAAGGCCTCCATGGTTTTTTAGCACCACGACAATCTCTTTGTCCCTCCTGTCAAACTATTTTTGTAAGAGACAGGATCTCATGTAGTCCAGCCTGGCCTTGAACCTCTGATCTCTTATATCTATCTACCTTCCAAGTGCTGGGATTACACCCATGACACCTGACCAAACTTTCCTTTATAGTATGCACAAAAAACCAACCACTAAACTTAGTACTTACTCCTGGTGGCTTGGCCCATCTCTGGGATGTTTTGGTGTGGTGTGGAGTCTATTACATAAAGCACCATTTCTTAGACCCTGTTTTCTGACCAAAGATCAGGTTTCCCAGCCTTGTTATCTCAGGCACAAACTTAATGCATTGATGGCTAATTAGAGGTTGGGGAAAGGGGTACTAGCTGGCCAGACTTGATGGGCACGTCGCTTACATCTCATCATGTTCAAGTGGACTAGGAAGACACTTTCCTGAAGGCTGTCATTGCTTCTGTACCAGTTGTCACAGGATGGAATTACCACTTGGTTTAGCACATTTCTGGGTTCTCTGTAGTTCCCAGAAGGAAGTAAAATCTTTTCTCAGAGATCACTGCCTGTGCAAGGGCAAGCAGACAGGTAGCCTGAAAACAAGTCCATCTGCCCCGTGCCTGAAGAATCAGTGCTGCACTTCCAGAGCAGAGCTACCCAGGCCACACCAGTCACCATTCTTTGCATTTCAGATTTGTCCTTTCAGCCATGAAACTAGAACACAACACTCCCTTCTCCCTCCCACCCTGTCTTTTCCATTCCCCTCCCCTCCCTTACCCATTGCACTTTTCCCACTTTACTCGGGGTTATATCACACCTCAGCAAAAGCTAGGCTGTACTGCTCTGGCTTTTTCCCACACCTCCGGGCAATAATGGCCAGATAGAGCATGAGGAGGGCCACCCAGTAGCAGCCATACAGGATGGCCCCAGAGACTAGGAAGGCTAGTTCAGTCTCACTGAACAAGTCCTGACAATAAGCTGTGTAGGCTAGGCCCCCTAGAAGAACTGCTACCCAGATGGACACAGGGATTAGGCCAATGAAGTTCACTACAATGGTTTTTCTGCCAGAAGTGCCCCAGCCAGACTTGTTGATGGTAGCAATGGCAAAGATCTTGGCTGGCAGGAGGCTGGACATATAGAGAAGGGAGTAAAGAGACATGAAGATCATCTCTGCATTGCCTCGAAGGAAGCAGGCATAGGTAGCCTTGATAATGCCCACCAGCTGCACCGTCAGCAGGAAGAGGAGAATGTTCCAGATGCGACCACGGTAGAAAAGTTGTATGACTGTGGCAATGAGGAAGAATGGGAAGAAGCCTGTGACCACCGATTCATAGGTCATCCAGAGGTGGTGCTTATGGAACCACAGAGAATTATAGAGCCATTCCCGGAAGTATGACTTGCTCCAGCGGGTCTGCTGGTTGAGCCATCGCAGGTACTTAGTGGGGGTCTCTGTGAGGCACTTAGAGCGTGCTGTGTACTTAGTCTGGTAACCAAGACTCAGGACTCGATTGGTCAGGTGTCGATCATCCCCAAAACTGCACTTGCTGCCTAGGAACTTCTGATGGTACCAGTCCTCCAGGAACTGCTGAAGGAGGCTATTTCGGTACATGCCCAAAGGCCCACTGATACATTGTACACAGCCAAAGTAGGACTGGCAGGCCCGCTCCACGTTGAAGGCCATCCAGTACCTCACGCTGCTCAGGAAGGAGATCCATGAGTCATACTTGTTGAGGATCTGTAAGGGGACAAAGATGCTTGTTCATCTGAGGCCTTTCTGCTCTGAGTAGTACTGCTCACACCAGAAAGGGTAGAAAAGCCTACTGCTCACACTCCTGGGCATTAGTTCTAGACTTACGAGAACTGAGGAATCTGAAACTCAGAGTGGTCATATAAAACCTCGCTCCCCAGCACCAGCTCCACCTTAACGCCAGCACCTCCACTGATTCCCAAGTAAGATGCTCCAGTAGTCAGTGCCTTGTCTTAGGAGAGGCATTGGTGGTGGCAGAGAAAAGGGCTTGAGGAAGAAGCAGAAAGCAAAGCCACTCTACCTGTCTTGCTCCTTGGCTGGTAAGCCTTTAAGAGGACATGACATGGCCTGCAGTGTCCTCTGGTTCTGCATGCTCAACATACTGCCTGTAGCTCTTTAGCCTGTGGTCCCTAAAGCATGGGCTTTTCAAGGAACCTACTTGGGAGCTATCAGCTACACTATCAGTCCAAAAGGAAGTAGTTTCTGAGACCTGCAGTATCCAAATCCTGTGTCCTTCCAAATGCAAATGTTTTGAATTTATTTTAGTGTGTGGGTATTGTCTACTTGTCTGTCTGTGCACCACTGGCATGCATGCCTGTGGAGGCCAGAAGAGGGCATCAGATCCCCTAGAACTGTAGTAATGACCTCTTGTGAGTCCTCATGTAGATGCTGGTGATCGAACCTGGGCTGCAAGAGCAGCTGTAATCTTAACAGCTGAGCCATCTCCCCAGCCTCCCACTTTAACTTTTCTAATGCTCCCCTCCCCTTACCCATGTTCACGAAGAGCAGGAAATGAGTTGGGCAGTCAGAGAAGTGAGCCCTTGAAGGCCAGCAAAAGCTATGAGGGAAACTGCTCCCCAGATTCTGGTAAGTCCAGAGATTCATTTCCCACGCATATTCCACTGGGTTTAGAAACAGAAAAGGCCAACCCCAACCCCCAGGAACTCCTGGTTACTTCTTACTTGGACATCTCCTCCAACGCCCCCTACTTGAGGATCTTCTTCCAAGACACGAAGCATCTCAACGGTGCAGGCTGGATCCAGCACAGTGTCAGAGTCACACACCTACAGGAAGTGCACTGTCAGGTTCTCTGTAAGTTCCCTCCCGCTTCAGGAAGCTGCTCCTGTCTGAGGAACCTGGCCCCCTCTCACATTTACTGCCAGCAAACTGCTCTATGCTAGGTAGAAAGGGGTGGGGGGACAAAGGGAAGAAAGATGGACAGTTCAGGTACCATGAGGCTAAGGAGAGCGCCCCAGGAGATGATGTCAGGGGCTACTGCTGAGGTGATCTCATAAGTAGTTTGCTAACAGTGCTCTGATTTCAACCCTGGCCTCCTGGTGAACCTATGGACTGTGATAAGAAGGAGTCTACCTGCCCAAGAGCACCTCCATGAGATGAAGCTGCTGCCCAAGCATTCTGTGCTTGGAATCTTGGCCAAGTCTTTATGACAGGTATATGTGGCCAACAGCTCCTCTTGTCTGATCTACTCTGAATAAGCTGGAAGCTGGCAGCAGTTGCCAACAATCACACCCTGCATCAAATCCTGTCTGCAAATGTAGCTCCTTCCCTCAAGGTCTAACACATAACTGTCAGTTGCACCTGAACTCTGGGTACACACACCACGGTGGCTGACTGCCTGTCTGTCTGTCTGTCTGCCTGCCTGCCTGCCTGCCTGCCTTCTTTCCTCCCTTCCACTTTGAGATAGTCTTTTATGTAGCCCTGGCTGTGCTGGAGTGCTATGTAGACCAGGAAAACCTCGAACTCAGAGATCTGCCTCCCAAGTGCTGGGACTGAAGGTGTGAGCTACTGTGACCAGCCTTTTCTGTCTGTTTTTTGAAATTACTGAAATGGTCCTGGCATTGCATTGGGCAGGGAAACTGGGTTTACTAACTCGTTGACTGGGCTCTATGGTCACTGTTCTCAGAGCAGATGAACTTAAACCCTGTTCCGTCGAAGCTTTTACTAAAGTTGCTGGCATAAGACCCTCAATTAAATTCCCAGAAGCAAAAATAAATAAGGCTGCCTCTGACACCCCAGTCTTCCCGGTTCTCGTCGTGTTAGAAGACAGGGTCGCACAAACAAGCAGCAGAATGCTAAGGGGGAAACGCACAGCCATCAGCCCCAGTTCTGCTTCCTCTGCCCTCCCCACCAGATGTCCTTCCATCCTGTTGGAGCTGGGGAAGGTCCCAGGGAGCCTCCGTCCAGAATCCCAGAGGCTCCTCAATTAAAAGGCCAACTGCTCGATACTGCTGGTCTTGGCTCAGTGACCATTTCTATCCTCTTCTCCACGCTGCTTTGCTTCATCCACTTCAGGAAGGTCCTAGCTAAGCAGTTAGGGAAGGAAGAGTAATGTCTACCTGGTGTCACCACTGGCTGGGCAAGGGTTTCCCCACAGAGAAGCAGATACTCTTTAGCAGGGCTGTTGGAAGGCTGGCTGGAACTCAGCAAACACGCACTGAATGTAACTCAGGGCTGCCTTAGGTAGGGCCCAGGCCCATCAAGAGTAGAGCATGCTGCTTTAGTGGGAGTCGGTGAAGGTCCACCAGAACACACACAGTCAAGAGAGGCAAAGCAGGTTGGCTCCTCTGCTTCAGGGACTGGCTGACAAAGTTATTGTTGCCTGACATTTGTCAAGACCAAGGGCTTTTTCTTGTGTTTCTGGGTTCTAAGAAAAGTCTAACAAAGACCCCAAGTCCTCAGGGAAACTACAGAATCAAACAGCCTTCTAGGCACATCCCTCCTTACATGCTTGGGTCCATGGAGTTAGGAAAGGAACATTTAATAGCATTCAAGGACTGAAGATGATGCCTATGAGATGGAATCAGTACACAGTGAGCTACCAAAACAGCCACTAATCTTCCAAGTGTTCATAAACAATTGGCAGGAGCCTTCGGCACATGTAGACAAGAGGCTGTGAGGAATTCTGGGCCAGAACCTGGGCAACTGAGTTGTCTGTTTCTAGTTGGTACTGAAATGTATCCTTTTAATCTTTTCTGCTCTGTCTAGTTTGTATTTGGAATTTTGAGCTGTGTAAACCTTGCAGTCTAATGGAATGTCCAGGCTGGTGCCAGCCACCATTTGATCTGAGCGGGGTCTGTTTGGAGTTCCAGACCTGCCAACACTGGAAAAAGGAAGTTGGAAGAATGGGACTCTGTGGTCCTAACTCAAACAAAGCTGAGTGGTTTTTAGCAGAATCCTTTTACTCATTATACTTAATTTTTTTTTTCAAGACAGGGTTTCTCCTTGCCTGTCCTGGATCTCGCTCTGTAGACCAGGCTGGCTTCGAACTCACAGAGATCCGCCTGACTCTTCCTACCAAGTGCTGGGATTAAAGGCGTACGCCATCATCACCCAGCTACTTAATTTTTTTTTTTTTATGTCAGGCAGTGGTGGCGCACGCCTTTAATCCTAGCACTCGGCAGGCAGAGGCAGGTGGGTCTCTGTGAGTTCAAAGCCAGCCTTGTCTGCAGAGCGAGTCGCAGGACAGCCAGGGCTACACAGAGAAACCTTGTCTCCAAACAACAACAAAAAAACCAAAAACAAAAAGAAAAGATTTATTTTTATGTGTCTGGATGTTTGGTCTACATGTAAGTTGGCACCGCTTGCATGCATTGCCTACAAAGGCCATAAGAGGGCGTCGGATCCCCCGGAACTGAAGTTACAGAGGTTGTTAGCTGCCATGTGGGTGCTGGGAATGGAAGGTGGGTCCTCCAGAACAGCCAGTGCTCTGAACTGATGAGCTGTTTCTCTAGTCCCTGTTCAGTCACCCTGTTGCCAGTAGTGAGACAGACACAAGGACTAAAAGCAAGCCGTGGATAGACCGCCTGAGAGGTCTGTTGTTTGACCTGAGGCAAGTTATTCTCCAAACTTCTGTTTGACCTTTCTGTGAACTCCGAAGAGCAGTTCTGTTATAAGCAGAGCTATTCTAAGTGCTAGAAGAATGGATATATTTGAGGCACCCCAGCAGTGCCCTGTATGAAGTCAGTGCTGTGCACCCGGTTGCTGTTGTTATGAGGCCATCAGTTCAGGGGGCTGCCCAGTTACCATCAGAACCACTGCCCAGGCTTGGTCAACTCCTAGGGTGTCTTCAGCACTGTTATGCCTTGTTTATGGGCAAGGAGGATGGCTACAACACCAAGACCCACGCCACGTTTTAAGTTGCTGGAGGAGAGTATGCCTGGTTGGCCACACGTGCCATGTGCACACACTCCTAGGGAGGCAGACTTACCTGGATGTAGTCCACTGAGTTGCCAAGGGCCTTGAAGGCTGTGTACATGACCTCACGCTTGCCTCCCCATTTCTGCATGATACATGAGAAAGTGCTGGCCCACACCACGGCTCGCACGCGCTCCATGCCTTCCTGCAGGCTGGCCTCCGTCTCTCCTTCACCTGCTTCATGGAAATTGCTACGCCACACAAAGAAGCCAGCTTGCTCAGTGCCGCCCAGCACCTCGTGGAAGATGTCCAGCATGTAGGCATCTTCCTGGCGATTGCCATCCACTACCATGACCACCTTGAGGTTTGGAAAGGAGATGCGCTGAGCTGAACGCAGGCACTTGCGCAAGTACTCAGGGTCCTCTTGGTAGGCAGCAATGCAGAGTGCCACCGAACGTTGCTTCAGGGGGCGCCCTGCCCTGCGCATGCGTCGGTGCTCTAGGAAGGCAAACAGGCTCTGGATGAGCAAATGTAGACCCAGGATGGCACCGTAGAGGCCGAAGGACAGGTAGTGCTTTTCTGTGTGGATAAACTGGTAGCCTGTCACATAGGCTGCCAGGATGCCCCCAAGCACCACCAGGGCAAACAGACTGGTGCCCACCACACGCAGGGCTGTAGTCAGCTGTACCGGCATCTGGGAACAGAAGAGACATTTGGTCAGGCAGGGGCAGCATTCCCAGTTAGAGGAGCTAGAGCATCCTCAGAGATAGGCTCAGAACAAGAGAAATGACCCACTAATAAAAACCATTATCACTTACTGAACTTGACCAAGACCACATGGAAACTCAGAACTAGACTGCTGGGGTTCAAGTCCCAGTTCCGCCGTTTCTGTCTGTCTAACCCACTCCCTTTCTAGCTGTGTGGTCTGTAAAATGTGTTATACTACTAACCTCACAGCATGTTCCAGTAGCGAATAGGTGTCATGTAAGGGAAGTAGAGTAGCGCTGATCACAGATAAACCAAAGGCTAGTCCCCTGGGATTGGTAGAGTGACCTGTCTGACCCAAAGCTCCTAATCAGTAAGCCTCAGCAGGGACACTGGGCACAGAGGCAACCCAGGCATGATGGGTCAGGTGTCAGCCCACGGCCTACAGCCATGGCCTAATGGGGGAGTGCAGTCGGGAGGGGACTGTTCCTCTGTAACAGCAAAAGGGCCCATGGAGAATGCAGGGGCAGGGAACATAAAGGCTGTGGCAGGTAGACAGACACATCCTTTCCCTTTCCCTCCACTAGCTCAGCAAGAAACTGCCCCGTGTTTGCTTTCACTTTTTTCTTTACTTACTTGAGAGGCAGGAGAAAAGGCCAGGGGGAAACTGACGGGGGAGGGGGTGGAGACAGCTCTCCTGCAAGTCCAGCACCGAGGGCCAGAGGGAACTGCTGCAGGCACTGCAGAGGGAGCCGGCTGCTGGGAGCCCTGCCCTCTTGGTCCTAGTGCCCTGGCAGGCTCTCCGCCGGCAAGTCCCCTGCCCAGCCACTCGGGCAAACAATGCAGGGTTCCGTTTGTAACGAAGTTGGGGTTCCTAGCACCTGCCCTGTTGGGAACAGCTGTGCGTTAATGAGAAGAGCCCAGGACTTGGCATCAGAGACCAAGGGTTGGACAAGCTTCACTGCCTCCTGGCTACCTGACCTTGCCCAAAGACTTAGTGTCCCTGTCCCTAGGAGTGGTGCTAATGATTCCTTGTTTCTCAAATCTAGGTGATTTCCCAGAAAATGGATGCACATTAGCCCTCAAGGGCTTCCCAGATGGGAGAGGGTATGAAGCAGAGGGGGAAGGAGAGGTTGCCCTCCCCTCTCGGCTACCTGCCCCATCTGGAGAATTCGTTTCCCCCCTTGTCTCAGACAATGACCTCTCACTTCCAAGCCTGCTTCAACTCTGGTCTCCCTGAAACTGGGCACCATCCCAACAGGAACAGACTTTGCTGCCAAGGACACCCCTCACATAGGATGGGTGAGGAACAGACAGTCACTGCTTAAATCCGCAAAAGCATTCTTCCAGCAGTGTAGATCTGAAAGAGCTCTTGGCAGCTTGGCCTCTCTGGGAAGCCTGGCCTCTGGGCTCTCTGCCCCACCAGCCCCGGGAGCCACCGCATGATTCCCCTGTAGGACCCCCAGCCCTCCCTGCACACACCCAGCCCAGGACGCCCCAGGCCTACGTCCTCTGCCCGGTTCCCCTCTAGCCGACGCATGGGGGGCGCTGCGGACCCCACTGCCCGCCTTGTCCTGGGAAGGGACAAGAGGTGCCCTGGCCAGCCCAGCAACCTGCGCCCTGGCGCCCCGCTTCGGTGCAGTTCCGGGGGCTATGCGGTCAGGTCCAAGGCAGCTACCGAAGCTCTCGGCACGCTCCTCACCCGGACCCGGCTTCAGCTTCGTCCGGTAGCTAAAGCCACTCGGCCACACCCACGTGCCGGTTTTCCACGACCCAGCCGGGAAGGAACGGGAAACCCAAGAAATAACAGCCAAACCAGGCCCTACTCAGCTCCCCAGGGCCCCAGGTACCTTGGCGAAAGAGTGCCTGCAAACAAAGGCGGCATCCCTGCTGTCGCCAGTCCCCTCCATCCGCGGGCCGGACCCTCCCCCCTCAGGAATTAAGAGGCACTACCTTCGTACCCACCTCCCCACACAAGACCCAAGAAGGTTCTGCAGTTAGATACCCTACGTGCAGTCAGGCTCTGGCGCGGGCTCTGGTTGAGGTCCCCTGCCTAGACAGGGGACTGTATTTCCTCAAGCCGGTAGACGAGAGTGTGTGCTCTTATATCCTGGGCCGCTTCCCCCATCCCGAGATCCTGGAAAGCCCGGACCAGGCTAGCTACGGCGCACTCGGGTTCAAGGACACGAGGCTGGGGTGCTTTACAAGATCGATGTCCCGTATGACAACGGAAGGAAAGAAATGAAAACCTCCAGGCAAGGACGCACGCCTCCCTACCCAGCCGGGAAACTTTGAGGGGCTGCGAGGTTCGTACGCTGACAGGTGCGCCCTGCAGCCGGGCCCACGCGCGGCGGTACGGAAACTTGCACTGGTGGCTGCGGCTCCTCCGCTCGAGCCTCGGCGCCCTCGGACCCCTCTGAGCCGGCAAGGAGAGGGAGCTCATCCAACAGACTCGGGCTGTGGGGATCGGATCGCTGGAAATCGTGATGTCCCCGCAGGTGCGAAGCCCCTGCGGGCGTGAGTGGGGGGAGGGGCACACTAGCCTCGCGCCCCGCACCACGGTCTCCCCACCCCTCCCCTGCCCCCCCGCCTCCTTCTTCATTCACAAAACACGAGCCGCAAGGGAGGAAGGGAGAAGGAGAGGCTGCAGGAGCCCAGGATGTTGGAAGAAAGGAAGAGAGACCGGTGGGGATCCCGCGGCACGGACCGCCGCCGGGAATCCTAGAACGGCCGCAAGCCCTGACCATCCGGAACCCTAGGGTCTCCAGGGCGCCGCAAGAGGCGCCTGAGGAGCAGCCCCGTTCGGCCCGCCCCTTGGATGCGCTCACCGTGCCGCCGCCGCCGGCTGCCCGCGCTCCGGTGCTCAGCAGGCCCGCGGCGGCTCCATGCCCCTCCTCCGGCTCCGCCGCCGCGCGCTGCTTCCACCGTGCTGCCGCGCGCTCCCACTGATGATCGCCGGCCCCAGCCTCCTTAAGTATTGTGCCCTCCTCCCGCCCCGCGGCCGGGAAAGTTGGCAAGAGTGGGTTCCCGGCCACCAGCCGCTGCTCTTCAGATGCGGGGTCCCTCGTGGACGCAGCCCCTCCGGCTCTAGAGTCGCAGCCTCTGCGCCCTCTGGGAAACTGGGGACCCCCAGTGCAGCCCAAGGCCCCACTGCTCCGCGCCGACCTCCGGGCCAGTAGCCTTGGAAAGGCGGCCATTGTCCCCAGCCTAGAACCTGAAGCGTCGTTAACTTTCCAGATGACCCGTAGGGACCTCCAAAACCGTTCCTGTCCATCCCCGTCCCCCACACCCCGGTCCCGAAGTCTGAAAACCTACCCTGCAAGCCAGCTAGCACAGAATGTATCTTCTCCCGACTTCTAAACCAATGTTCTTCTGGAACCTTCCCGGTGGCAAGAAGAGAGGAACAGAAGAGAAAAATTGTCAAATAAAGAGCCTGGTCAAAGAAGATGTTAACAGTCGTGACAAGCTGAGCTTTGAATTCCGCAGCGGGGCGCTGATGACATTGTTTAAAAGCTGCAGATTGGTCTAGCAGGAACCTAGGAGATTCCGATCTTAAAGCCCAAACAATTCTTCCTCCCCACCTTCACACCTTTATTTCCGACATCCCGACCTCTTAAGTTTCCATCTGACATCCTCGCTAATAAGTTTCCAGGCCTCTGAACGCTGGTGCTAGACTTGGGTGAGGTGAGGTGGAGAGGGGTTCGGGAGAAGAGGATGCTATTAGCAGAAGTTAGAACCAGCTGGAGACCTGGAGCTTTTACATCTCGGGAAAGCTTGAAGAGAAATGATAATCAAAGACTAGTTTTAAAAATGAATTTATGGGGTCGGGCAATGGTGGTGCACACCTTTAATCCCAGCACAGAGGCAGGCAGATCTCTGAGTTCGAGGCCAGCCTGGTCTACAGAGTGAGTTCCAGGACAGGCAGGGCTACGCAGAGAAACCCTGTCTCAAAACACCAAACAACAACAACAACAAAATGATGTGTCCTTCAAGCATCATCAGAGATAACTTGGCCAGCTGACACCATTTCATAGGCATGTGAGCTGCAGTTTGGAAGCTGTCCTCTCAGACTTGTCCACAGTCCCTCAGTCACTTAACCACAGCACCTGGCTTACCTGCCCCATCCTGACAGATAAAATCACTATGTGTCACCCTGCTTCAGGGGACATCGCTGCATGGGTTAAAAGGCTTCTCAGTGAGTTTGTTTTGTTTTGTTATTTATTTTGAGACAGGGTCTCTCTAGCCCAGGATGGGTGCTTGAACTTCCTATGTAGCCAAGGGGATAACCTTGAACTTCTTCCTTTAACTCAGAAGAGACAGGTGAGGTCCACCACACCCAGTTTATTCAACAATGGGGCATGAACCCTAGGTTTAGCACATACATGGTAAGCACTGTGTGCTATCCCCGGCTCCAAAGAGTGTGCTGAGACAGGATTTCTCTGTTAACAGTCCCGGCTGTCTTTGAACTCTCTTTCTAGACCAGGATGGCCTGGAACTCACAGAGCTCCTCCTGCTTCTGCTTCCCCACTGCTGGGACTAAAGTCTAAGAGTGCGCTCTTAAAGGCTGTTGAGATGGCCCAGAAAGTAAAGACACTTTGGGTCAAACTTGAGTTCAATCTCTGGGACTCACATGTTGGAAGAAGCAATTACCACAAGTCCTCTGACCTCCGCACAAGTGATATATAGGTCCACAATAAATCATAAAACACAGAAAGGCTAATATTGAATCCACAGTGGCATGTGTGTTGTGCTACAGACCGTCTGAGGGGCCTGGCCATAGCCATCAGCAAATACCCGGATAGAGAAGTGTTTGCTTGGTAAAGAGAATTGTTCAGGAGTCTGTCGACTTGTTCTGCCACTGGCTGTGACAGTAAACTTCAAGGTCTCCCTCCTAGAAATGAGGGAGAGGACTGTTTCAAGATTTGCAGAGTCGTTGAGAGGGTCCGTACATAGTCAGCCTCAGCCTGAGGTGGCGTCATGGCCATCCTGATCGCCAGTGACAGGCAGTTCTCCAGTTGGTGTTTAGAAAAACAAACAATATCTTGTCCTGATTCCATTACAGATCTTAGGAGCCTAGGGCCACCATGCCACCTCAAGAGGCACCTGAATCTGGAGGGGCCAGGGTCTTAGGGATCTATTCGATCTCCCTTCCTCCCTCCCAGAGTTGCAGTATACAACATTTTAGATCAAGAAAAACAAGCAGGGAGTCTGCAGTGCTAAACAATGAGTGCAGTGGCCTCCTGGAGAGCAGATGTTCCACACAGAGGTTCATCTCCCTGTGGTGGGAGGGCCTAGCATGGCCAGGTGCTTAACTGCTTGAAGAAGCCAGAAATCTAGACCTGTATGTGAAATCTCTTCATTTTTAAGTGTTAGCAGCTGATTCAGAAGTTAAAAACAAACATTCCATAGGTTAGATAAAATGCACCAGTCATGGTCTGCCAACTGGCTGCTTGTAAAATGTTTAGATGCTCAAGGAATGGGGCAGCCATCTTGAAAAGGCCCAATTCTGTCCCTTTCCTGACTTCTCTGTGTACACATTCCCTTCCCTGCAGCTGCTCCAGGGCCGGCGCATGCTAGTTAGTTTCTAAGACTCCAACTATGACCTGCAGTTTCCTTGTCCCTCTCCACTGACTCTAGGGTGGGGCTGGCTCAGCACAACCTTCCCAGTCAATTAAGACCTTCCACAGGAACAGTGGGCCCAAATGCCACATTAAGGACCTGTAGCATGAATCTTAAAAGTTCTTATTAATAAAAACAAACCCAGAGCCAGGTGTTGGGGTGAACACTGGAAGATCAGAGAAGCAGAACAAGCCACAGCTACCTCACCTTGCCAATTCCTCAGCTGATCCTGTATTCTCAGACTGGATGCTTCTCCGCTGAACGGTGCTGCTCAAAAGCCTAAAAGTTTAACCAGCTCTAGTTCCTGGTTCTCATGCCTTATATACCTTTCTGCTTTCTGTCATCACTTCCTGGGATTAAAGGCTCACTTCCTGGGATTAAAGGCATGAGTCACCATGCCTGGCTGTTTCCAGTGTGGCTTTAAACTCACAGAGATCCTGAGGGATTGATGGATCTCTGCCTCCCAAGTGATAGGATTAAAGGTGTGAGTGCCACCATTTTCTGGCCTCTATATCTAGTGGCTGTTCTGTTCTCTGACCCCAGATAAGTTTATTAGGGTGCACAATATGTTGGGGAACACAATATCACCACAAGGACCGTCGGTGCTCTGCCTATACCAATTGGCTTTGCTCCAGTCTAAGTGGTGAACTGCCCCTTTCTGATGTGCAGGACCATATAGTCAGGCAGAGAAAAACCGTCTTTCCCTTTGGAAGACTGGCGGTAGCAGGGAGGATTTGCAGGAATTAACATCCAGTTTGAGGGGCCCTGTTTGCACTTATTCCTTCATTGGAAAGTCGTAAAGGGCTGCAGTTTATCTCCGTGTACCACTGGGGATTTAGAAATAGGGTTAATTCCATACCCAGTCACTTAGAAATGTGCATTCAGATGTTGCTGAATCAGCTTTTGCACAGGTTCTAGACACTAAGTCCCTCAATCTGGCTCAAAAGATTCGTGCCGCCCGGGGTGGGGGTGGTGGGGTGGCGGTGGTGGCGAATGCCTTTAATCCCAGCACTCGGGAGGCAGAGGCAGGCAGATCGCTGTGAGTTCGAGGCCAGCCTGGTCTACAAAGCGAGTTCCAGGAAAGGCACAAAGCTACACAGAGAAACCCTGTCTCAAAAAACAAAAAAACAAACAATCAAAAAAACCAGACTTGTGCCACACTCATTCAACACATTTGGGAAACCTGCAGAGCAGCCTCAGGCGAGTTACCACTATGTGGAAGTTTGTCCATGTTGAAGACGAATCTGCTCGCAAAGTCAAGTTGTCCCAAGAGACAGTTTATAATCGAAAAAACTTCCTTCTTAGCCGGGCGGTGGTGGCGCACGCCTTTAATCCCAGCACTCGGGAGGCAGAGCCAGGCGGATCTCTGTGAGTTCGAGGCCAGCCTGGTCTCCAAAGCGAGTTCCAGGAAAGGCGCAAAGCTACACAGAGAAACCCTGTCTCGAAAAACCAAAAAAAAAAAAAAACAAAAAAAAAAAAAAAAAAAAAAAACTTCCTTCTTTCCTTCTGCCTTTTTATGAGGCAAGCTGTATTTTGTGTAGCCCAGGCTAGCCCAAACTCTTGGCGCTCCTTCTGCCTCAGTCTCCAGAGTGCTGAGATTGCAGGCATGGGCCACGCAGTTGGCTATAATTAATGACGATGTGAAGATCTGACTGGAAGAAGTCAAGGACATCAGAAGAGAGATCTCTGTTAGCTAGAATGAGTTAGACAGAGGCCCCTGGAGAACATTCTAGACAAGAGGACCAGCTACCAGGAATGGGCTGTATGTTTGCAGAATGGCAAAGGGAGGCCTGGGTGAAAGAAGACATTTATCCCAAGAACTTCAGCTGTGCCTACCGATGGAGTCTAGCTGCTCTGAACAGAAGGTGGCTAGGGACAGATCGTGTGTAACTGTGGAGATGTCTAACAGGCTACAAGCATTGTTAGTGGTGAAGCTCGGTCATTGGCAGCATTTTGTGCCAAGGACTAGAAACAAGACGGTGCTGCTTCCGAAGGGAAGAGTGTCACCTACTGTGGGCAAAGCTGACGACAAGGTGAAGAATACTTAAAAAGAAGGGATTTTCTCCCAGCTGTGGAGCCTCACCCCAACCAGATACAAACAAAACAACAAAACAAAACAACAACCACCACCAAAAAAACCAATACACAGTTATGTTAAAACACCTTCTAAAGTGATGCATGGACCTGCAATTCCAGCTGCTGATGCATGGACCTGCAGTCCTAGCTGCTTAGAGGCTGAGGCAAAATGATCTCTTGACCCTGTGAGTTTAAGACTAGCCAGGTGTGGTGGTGCACACCTTTAATCTCAGCATTCAGGAGGCAGAGGCAGGGAGAGCTTTGTGAATTTCAGGCCAGCCTGGTCTACATAGAGAATTCTAAGATAGCCAGAGTTAGAGAGACCCTGTCTCAAAATAAATAAATAAATAAACAAATAAATAAAATAATTAAAAAAAAAAAGACTTGCTGGGCGGTGGTGGTGCATGCCTTTATTTCCAGGACTTGGGAAGAGGAAGAGGCAGGCAGATCTCTGTGAGTTCAAGGCCAGCCTAGTCTACAGAATGAGTTCCAGGACAGGCTCCAAAGCTACACAGAGAAATATAAGTCTTTCATCTCAAAAAAAAAAAAAAAAATCAAAACAATCTAAAACGGCTCTCAAATCGTAGCAGTATGTTCTGTTTCCTCTACTAGGGCTTGCTTTCTCTTGAAGGCAGTGTAAGTCACAATGTTGCATAGTACCTAACTCAAAGTGGAGAGTGTGCGCCTTGAGCACAGAGAGGCGGCCCCTCCCCACAAAGCCGTTGTTCTTTTGTTCTTTTGTAGCTCACCTCTCCTGTGGACACCTTGCCTGGCTACAGTTGCAACTCTGGCTTTGGATCCCGGAATTGGAACTGCATGGTTTAAATTAAGCACCCTCTGCTCTGCAGGTGGCCAGGTGCTTGCCTGCATCCTTGAAGGTCAGGATCAGGTCAGACCAGACGGACAACCCCAAACAACCTGGGGATGCTTTTTTCCCCTTTTCCCTTAAATTGAGCCCTAAAGGAAAAGGTTTTGTGTAGCCATCTTTCCTTTCTGTCTTCTTCTAAATGAACGTGGAAAACCCCAGAAGGCAGTGATCACCTATCATCTATCAGCTACTAAAAATTATGCTCATGAAGAGAACACAATTACTCCAGAATGTTCGTGCGCATTGTTAAATAAATATACAGAACACAAAGTTGCTGCTTTGAATTATCATTTCTCCATTATCTATGATTATTTCTCTGTTTTGTTTTGTTTTGAATTATATGAATTCGGGACTGGAAAGATGGCTCAATGTTTAAGCTCCCTTATCAGTGCTGGGAACTGGACTTGGGTCCTCTGCATGAGCAGCAAATATTCTTAACCACTAAGCCATCTCTCCAGTGCCTTTATTTTTTTTCTTTTAACACATTTTTATTTATTTATTGTGTATGTGGGTGTGGGAATGCCACAGCACACGTGGATCAGAGGACAACTTGTGAGACTTTTCTCCTTCTACCATGGGGGTCCCCAGGATCAAACTCAGATCCATAGCGTCTGTAGCAGGCACCCTTTACCTGCTGAGACATCTTACCAGGCCAAAAAGTTATTTTTAAATGGTTAGATTTCTGAGTTTAAATACATGGCTCCTATGCTGACACCAGGTGGGTGAGAAAAGTGTCTAAACCTCAGTCTGCAGTGAGAGGTATGAAGTCTGGAGGTGCAGATTTGAACGTGGCGGCAGCAGAAACACTTCGTGGTTGGCCATATGGAAAACCGTTGAGGGAGTTGGGGGAGGGGGATGTGCAGCGCTGTGGCAGCTCTTCAGGCACCTGTGAGAACCACAGGACACAGGGCTGGCTGGTACATACATACAGGGCTCCGAGCCCCTGTGTCCTCCCCACACAGTGTCATAGGGATCGGGGACAAGGGATGGGCAGGGGCTTACTTAGTTAGGGTTTCTACTGCAGTGATAAAACACCATGAACAAAAGCACCTTGGGGGAAAGGCTTTGTTTCAGCTTACAACACTCAGGTCGCACTCTGTCACGGAGAAAGTCAGGGCAGGAGCTCAAGGCAGGAACTGGGAGGCAGGAGCTGATGTAGAGGCCATGGAGAAACACTGCTTACTGGCTTGCTCCTCATGGCCTGCACTCTGTTTTCTTAAACATTCCAGCATCGCTTGCCCAGAAGTAGTACCACCCACCGTGGGCTGGGCCCTCCCCACATCAATCATTAATCAAGAACACACCTCACAGACTTCCTCACAGGCAATCTGAGACAAACATTTTCTCCACTGGGGTTGCTTTTCCCAGATAGTTTATGATAGTGGACAAAACAACCAGGCCAGAGGCATGCTAATCAGAGGCTCCAAGAATCTCCCAGAAGGAAGTTTTCCCTAAAGAAACTCATGTCAATGGCAGTGTCTTCCCACCCAAGGGTCTTTTTCTCCTTTGGGGGTTATAAACCTTCTCCATGTGCAAGTCCACACCCACACACGCACATCGCTCACCGTGACACCAAGTGGACACACACACACACACACACACACACACACACTTCCCCAGATCTTAATGGCCCCCAACCTTAATGAAACACAGCCCTGTGTGCAGTCAGCCTCTCAGATCATTTGGTTCATGTTATCTGAATACCAAGTACAAGTGTTTTGTTGGTGGTGGGTTTTGCTGTACCAGATATTTTGTTAGTTGTGTTTTGTTTATTGTTTGTTTGGTTTGGTTTTTCAAGACAGGGTTTCTCTGTGTAGTTTTTGGTGCCTGTCCTGGAACTCACTCTGTGGACCAGGCTGGCCTCGAACCCACAGAGATCCACCTGCCTCTGCCTCCTGAATGCTGGGATTAAAGGCCGCTGCTGCCACCCAGCCTATACCAGGGATTGAACCCAGGGTCTCACACATGCAGGGTAAGGGCTCTCCCACCGAGCTGTGTTTCCAGCTCATCAATTATAACTCTTAAATGTGCTGGCCTGTCTGTTGTCTGTCTTCTTTCTTGCTTAAGAGCAGTATTTATCACTGTCACAGGGGAGGTCCAAAACCGAACCATCCAAATGTATTCAGAGGAGAGCCGAGGACAGCGACAATCTCTACGGCTGTGTGGGGATGGCCTCCTCAAAATTCATTCCTCTTGCAAGCACATACCAATGCAGTGGTTCTCACTCCTGTCTGTTATAAATTAGATTTTTAAAGCCTGTGGGGCTTTTTAAAAAACACTAATGGCTGGAACCTATCCCAGATCAATTTTTCTCAGTCACTGGGGTAGGCCCCAGGCTTGAATATTTTACATTTCCCAGGCGACTCTATTATGCATCCAGGGTTGAGTGCACATCCCAAAGGTTCTCCTTAGCTGAGATCTGCAAGGGCATTTCTTGCACCGAGAAGCAAATGTGAGCCAGCCACTCTGGTGGTGTGCTCTCGAGCTCAGAGGAACAGAGCAGACCCCTTGTCCTCTGCCACCACCTGCCACAACACAGGCACCTCTTGGAATTAACTGACCTAAAAAAACTAACAACGAGGGACTGGAGCAGAGGTTCTCAACCTGGGGTCGTGACCACCTTGGGGTCGCATATCAGATAGATATTTACATTATGATTCATAACAGTAGCACAATTCCAGTTATGAAGTAGCAACAAAATAATCTTATGGTTGGGGGTCACCACAACAAGAGGAACTGTATTAAAGGGTCACAGCATTAGGAAGGCTGAGAACCACTGGGCTGGAGAGATGGCTCGGTGGGTAGAAGTACTGGGTGCTCTTCCACAGGTCCTGGGTTTAACTCCCAGCACCCACCCCTGTCTGGAATGCCAGTTCCAGGGGATTGGATGCCCTCTGCTGCACCAGGCATGTGATGTACAGACATACGTGCAGACAAAACACCATATATATTAAATAAATAAAATTTAAAAGTATACAAAACAGCTTAACAATGAGGAAATGAGCTCTAGAGCGGAAGGAAGGAAGGAAAAGGTGCGAATTTGAACTGGCAATCAGAAGGTAAGCCAGGGAGAAGAGGAAAGACAAGGCCAGTCCCTAGCCTCTCTGTCCCCAGGCCCCTGTCCCCAGGCCTCGCTAACGCACCTAAAGTGGGATTCCAACAACCTTTTCACTGGCAAAGCGATGCTTCCTTTTTTTTTTTTAAGTTGGGAAAGTAGCCAGTTCTTCCAGAGAGCGACCGAGCTGCTCAAACAAGCCTCGGTAACTTTCACCAAGTACCTCATACGGTATCTGTATTTAGGGGATTTCTTATCCAAAGGATGGGTGAAGGATGATCTTCAGAGGCTCACAAGGGGCAGCCCAATCACGTTCACGGACCTGGTTTTAGCCATGGGGAAATGGACACTTGCCTGACTCAAGAACTTTGTTCTTTGCAATCTTTGAACATGACTTTTTGGTGGGGTGGGAGTCATTTCAACCCAGCTCTCTCAGTGTCAGCATTAACTTTTTCTCCCTCAAGCAAAAACAACTGATTTTTCAAGCTCAGCCCCCTTCCCTCCCCTTCCGTTACAGCCTCCTGCAGCCTATGCTGGCCTTGAACTCACTGTGTAGCTGACCTCAAATCCCCATCCGCCTGCTTCTACCTCTCAGGAGCTGGGCGTACAGGCCTGTACTACCACATCTGGCTCGGGCTGGCCTTTCTTTCAGATCCATATTGTGGTTGTGGATTTTGAAGTTTTGAGAGTGGTGTGTGGTCCAATAAGGGCTGTGTATTGTGGGTGTGGGGGAAGTTCTTGCCAGAGGCTCTGAGGTGCAGATAGATGCCTTTGTTCTCCAGCACCAGGTGCCTACCTGTGCGTGAGATGAGCAGGGCCGCACCTCCCCAAGGCCCCAGCCAGGCACTGTTCTGAGCAGGTTTCAGGTCTCAAGGTGCACACTGAAGATGAAGCATTAATCATTTAATAAACTTCACTTTATTTTAAGTTAAAATAAACCACTTAAAAGTCCAGTAGTTGTTCTAGGTCCCACCGGGGCCACCGCTGCTCTGCAGACTGTCTTGTCTTAGTCTCCTGCTGTTCACCTTCCTGCAGCTCGGTCCAGCTGGTGGGCCACTGGGAGAAGGCTTTTCAACTCATCTACCTTGGCCTTTCCACTCTTTGCTTTTCTGCCTCTGTGTGCAGAATTCGCCTCTTTAAGGTGGGTGTGGGGTGAATGTCTGGGATCTCAGCACTTGGGAGGCGGGGCAGGAGGCACAGTAGTTCAAGATCGGCCTCGGCAACATCGCAAGTTTGAGGCCAGCCTGGGCTACAAGACACCTTGTCTCACAAAACAGCAGCAACAAACCCCAAACCAGTAACTAGACGGGAAGGGAGCTTATCTCTCCGGATCTTTTTTCCTCCTCCAGGAGAAAGTGGCTCCCCCAGCATCTTTCCTCTCTAAAGGAAAGACACTGTTTACTGTGTATAGCTCAGTGGTTAAGATCGCTTGCAGTTCTTGGACAGGTCCTGAGTTTGGCTCCCAGTACCCACATCAGGCAGCTCACAACTGCCAATAACTCAAGCTCCAGGGGCTCTCATGCCCTCTTCTAAGCCTGCCTGGGCACCAGCCTGCCTGGGCATGCAGGCCAACAACACACTCTCTCTTCTCTCTCCCTCCTTCTCCACCCTTTCTCTTTCCCTTCCCCACTTTCTCTGTCTCTCTCCCTCTATCCCCTTCCCCCTCCCTCCCAACACCCCCATACAAATTAATCATCATTTTGAAAATGAAGTCTGAGAACCAAGGCTCCTTTACAAGAGATGAAAGGGTTAACCAACCACCTTCACAAAGGAACACTTGCTACAAGCTCTTTCCTTTTTTGAGACAGGGTCTCACTATATGGTCCAGGCTAGCCTTGAAATCACAGACATCCACTACCTCTATGTCTCAAATGCTGAGCTTAGAGGCTTGCATCATCCTGTTCAGCATGTTACGCTTTTCTTGGTTGTATACTTGTGGTTTGATCTCCAGAGGTGCTGTCTTAGAACTCTGTTACCTTAGCACGCCATAAAAGACGAGTAAAAGCCACCAAAGTGCCAGGCGGTGGTGGTGCACACTTTAATCTCAGGACTCGGGAGGCAGAGGCAGGTGGATCTCTGAGTTCTAGGCCAGCCTGGTCTACAGAGTGAGTGCCAGGACAGCCAGGGATACGCAGAAAAACCCTGTTTAAAAAAAAAAAAAAAGCCACCAAAGTATGAGGGAAAGGGGCTGAGAACTTTAACAAGCCCACTCTCTGGCCACAAAAACTACAAGGTCAAACTGTAGAGATGGACAGCAGCACTGGTAGGTTCTGATAGCTAAGGCTGGGTTCACAGGTAAGGCAGTAGTTACTTCATTTAGTTGTGAGGCTCTGGGTCTCTGGCTGGCCTGGAACTTGCTATTTAGACCAGGCTGGGCTTGAACTCACAGAGACCCGACTGCCCCTGCCTCCCCAGTGCTGGGATGAAAGGTGGGCGCCATGCCCCCCTCCTTCCCCCACTCAGCCTAAGATGGCACTGTTTTAAGGGAACTGACTGTGACTGAGGCTGGCCTTGACAGCGGCAGTCCACTTACATAAACACTGAACTTCTGTTTTTGTTTAGTCTCACCGACACTGAGAGCTGAGCGGGACCGCAGCAAGCCTGGTGGTTAGAGCACAGCCTTGAAGCCACACTGCCCGGTCCAGGCACCGGTTTGCCGACTGTTTACTGCTGTGCAATCCAAACAAGCATTAACCTCTCCTACACCTGTGTGTGTGTGTGTGTGTGTGTGTATACATAGGTGTTGGGGGGCAGAGGCTGTTGTTGGGTGTCTTCTTTTATGCTCGATGGCCAGCCCTTGGCTCCTCAGCACTCATATGGACGTCAGGTGGGTGTGTAGTCCACCTGTAAAGCAGTGGAAAACACAGGAGGAAAAGATCAACCCTGGGGAAGGTTGGCTAGCTAGACCAGTCCACTCAGGTGAGTGCTGGGTTCAAGAGGACCCTGCCTGCTTCAGTCTCTAAGGTGGGGCCATCAAGGAAGGCACCCGATCCTCTGGTCTTCACACCCCTAAGCACACATGTGCATCTGCACACACACACATATACATGCAAAGAGCTGAAGGGCCCATACACCAGTTTGTCAGTGGTAGTCTTGGAGTAAGAGTAGAGGTAAGATTGTGGAAATCTCTGTTATATATACATGTTAAAATTATTTATTTTTGAGACAGAGTCTCACTATGTAGCCTTGGCCGGCCTGGGGCTCAACATGTAGGCCAGGTTGGCCTCAAATTCAGAGAGATCCATCCTTCTCAGTGGGGTGCTGGGATTAAAGGCACAGGCCACCACGCCTGGCTATATTAAATTTATAATTCATACACCAATTCCATGTGAGTGTGCACACAGACAGAGGCACCCAGGACTTCTCCACCGGATGGAGGTAAAACATAGCGGAGTGGTCCTTTGTAGTTCAGTGAGGACACAAGTGACATCCTCACTCAAGTGGTTTCTCACGCCGGGGCTGTAATAGTTTATTTTCTATTGCTGTAAAAAAAAAATCACAACCAGTCAGGCAGTGGTGGCACACACCTTTAATCCCAGCACGTGGGAGGCAGAGCCAGGCAGATCTCTGTGAGTTCAAGGCCAGCCTGGTCTACAGAGTGAGTTCCAGGACAGGCTCCAAAGCTACACAGAGAAACTCTGTCTAAAAAAAAAAAAAAAAAAAACAACGAAACAAACAAAAAACATCATGGCCAAAGCATTTTATTAAAGAAATGCTTCCTGGGGCTTATGGTTGCGGAGGTTAGGGTCCAGGATGGCAGAGGGAAGGCAAGGTGGCAGGGGCGGCTGAGAGCTCGCACCTTGAACCAAAGCAGGAGGCGGAGAGTGTACTGGAGATGGCAGGAGGCTGTTTTGTTTTAAAATTTTATGTGTATTTTTGCCTGCATGTATGTATGAGCTCGTGTGTACCTGGTACCTGGGGAGTCCAGAAGAGGGCGTTAGCTCCTCTAGAACTGGAGTTACAGATGGTTGTAGGTGCTGGGTATCAAACCCAGGTTCTCTGCAATAGCAGTCAGTGCTCATAACCACTGAGCCACCTCAAAGTCTGCTCCAAATAACACACCTCCTCCAACAAGTCCATACCTACTAATCCTTCCTAAACATTGCAACAGGGGATCAAGTATTCAAACATATGACCTATGAGGGCCATTCTCATTTAAACCACCACAGGGCCCTGGGGTAGACAGTACTCAAGTTTGCAATTCAAATGCATAAAAGCATGATCATGGTCTCTGTCTCTGTCCCCGTGTGTCTGTGTGTCTGTGTGTCTGTGTGTGCTGGGAATTGAACCCAGGCCTCATGCATGCCAGGCAAGCCCTCTACCACTGAGCTGTATTCCCAGTGTGAAAGGCTTTTGCTTCAGTGCCCAGTTTGGAGAAATAACTCCAGCAGTATTCAGCAGTGCCCATGGTATTTCATGGAGGGTCTTCCATGGTAGAAAGCAGGACCTTGGTGGGGACTCACAAGGCCTGGAGTTAAATTCCCCCGGAGGGGAAAACAATAGCTTGTCTCCCTATCTTGCAACCTAGCTGTCCAAACTAAAGGAAACAAAGCAACTGATGTTGCTACTCTGGTCTTTGGAGACCACAGAGGGTCACCTGGGGGAGGGGCAGAAAGGAAGCTTTGGAGGGGGCACAGAGCTATTGGGTGACTAAGAGGAGCTGTGGGAGGGACCAGGGATGACCCTCAAACGCTAAGTGAGCAGAGTCCCTCCCAGGCGGATGTGAAGGGCTGGCTTCCCTTTTCCTTTGCCCTTAAGTGAGCTGGCCAGCGGGGAAGAGGCTGCGGCAGAGACAGCAGCCAGACTCATGCCCAGCCCCCCAGCAGAGCAGACACTGAGCTCAGAGCAGAGTGGTGCATGAAATCAGAGGTGCGGCACACCGCAGTGAGGCTGCGCGTGTGACTGCAGCGCAAGCAAGCCTGCAGCAGGACACGGCCTGGCCCTCCAGGTCATCGCCACTGCTGGGGCTCAGGGAAGGCAGCCACACAGTCGCGGAAAGGTGGCCGGCTCTCACCATCCATTCGGCACTCAGCTGCCATGTCTACTCTGGTGCCATAGAAACCCCGGCTGTGGGAAAGTGCAGAAGCCTCTCTCTGGTTTAACAGGTCAGACAGATGGACCCCCCGCCCCCCCAGCCTACTCCCACAAGCTAATCAACTTTCCCATGCCATGGCCACCTTTCCAAACCCCTGGTGAGAGTCCCAGGCAGATGGCTGTGGCACTTCATTCAGGTGTCCTTTGAGATAAAGGGACAGGACAGGGCTGGTGGAGGGACCCCGGGCAGATGCACACACTCGCTGTCCTTTCTGTTGTTGGGGGGGACTGAAGCCCAACTGGGGGATGGGAGTGAGAGGAGTCAGCCTGCTGCTTTCTTGTGATTGAGGAGAAAATAGAAAAGGCTGTGTGTGGTTATATTTATTTCCAGTTTCACAACATACAGCACATTAACGTCCCAGCACTTTCCAGAAACAAGCCAAGGAAGGGGCTGCAGGGAGAAGCTGTTCTGTGCTGCATCCTTTGTTCGGTGAACCCCGCTCTCGTCCCTGCCCTCCCCCTTACTCTAAGGCACCCTGGACCCCAGCTCTTCCTCAAACATCAGGCTCCCGGGGCTTTGCACCTCTGTTCCCTTCTCCTGAGATCTTCTTCCCACATCTTTGTGGCCACCCCGTCACCTCTTTGGCTCTCAGAGGCTGCAGAACCTCAACTCACAGCTTTCACCTGACTCTCGCCATCCTCACTCCTGACTTCATCTCTCCTAGAACTTTAACAGATAACTTTATTATTATACTATTATTATATTCATTTATGGGGGTGTGATCCTGTGCCCCAGGAGGGTGTGTGAAAGTCAGAGACTAGAGGGAATGAGTTCTTTCTTCTTCACGGGATCTTGGGATTTGAACTCATGTTGTCAGGCTTGGCAGCTAATACCCTTACATGGTGTACTGTCTTGCCAACCCAGAGCATTTTTTATTAGTTGACATCCCATCTATGCCCTTTATCCTTGTTTTTTGTTTTGTTTTTTCAAGTCTGTCTCTCTGTCTCTCTCTGTCTATCTCTGTCTCTCTGAGACAAGGTTTCTCTGTGTAGCCCTGGCACTCACTCTGTAGACCAAGTTGGCCTTGAACTCCCAGAAATCTGCTCTGGCTGTCCTTGAACTCACTATAGCAGAAGCTCCCTAAGGGTGAAGGTTTGTCTATTGTTATGAGCTGCTCTTGGTGCCGTGGGCAGCAGCATATGGTAAGTGCTCAACAAATTGTCCTTGATGTCTGTGACCTGCTTTCCTGCCTTCCAGTCTCTGGTACCTTGACTCTTACTCATGGATGGGGACAGAGTTATAGGAGGGTAAAGGGGTGCAGAGGAGGAGTGCATCAAGAAACCGGAAACACTGTGTGGAGGAAGGTAAAGAGCAAAGTGGGGGGACTTGCAGAAGCACCAGCTTGTACCGAAGAGGAAGAGAAACACCACAGCACAGGGAGGCCCTCCAGACTCAGGAAGTCCAACTGAACAGGAAGCGATCTCAGGGCAGAAGCTGGGACTCCATGCAGCCAATGCTTGGGCCCTGCATGTCTCTGCTCCAGTGCTACTGGCTAGCAGCCTGAGACCAGAAAGAGAGGGAAGGAGAGGGACCCAGAGAGGCCAGGTGAGGAGCCACCAGACAAGGGATGGCCAGGAGAACCTCAGTGATAGATATGGGAGGGAGAGACTCAGAGGAACAGCAGGAAGAGGACTGCTCCCTGAGAGAGGACAGATGGGCAGGAGGGGACAGAGACCCGCTTCTCAGGATCCATCATGTAGGGAAGCATTACTTTTCCTGCCATGTGTCTCAGGTCTTTGGGGTTTGTGCCATTTAGTTATTTGCATGCTGGAGACTGAGCATAGGCCTGGTGTAGGGGAAGCAACAATACGGCCTACCATTGAGGTCTGCCCCTGGCCCTTTTTATGTTTGTATTTGGAGACAGGCCCTCACAGTTTCCACGAACTCACTGGAGCCCAGGCAGGTCTGTAGCTTGTCACTCTCTTGCCTCAACTTCCCAGTAGCTGGGATTACTGGTCTGTGCCACCGGGCCCAGCTGGAATTCTTAAAATTTAAGTTTGTGCTTTTTCTGTCCCATTATTCTCTTTCCCTAGAGCTTTTCATCCACATACACAATAAGCATGTGAACACATTTGTACTAAAATTTATAACTGAGACAGAGTCTTCTGCAGCTCAGGCTAGGCTCAAACTTGCTATGTAGCTGAGGGTGACTTTGAACTTATGATGCTCTTGCCTTTACCTCCAAAGTGCTGGGATTACAGGTCTACACCATTGTGTCTGGTTTTCAAGGTCCTGGGTATCAAATCCAGTGCTTTGTGTATGTTAGGCATGCAGTATACCAACTGAGCTATATCTTCGGCCGCTATGAGTTTATTTTTTTTCAGACAGTACTTCATACTGTGATCCAAGCTGTCTTAGAATTCACTGTGTAACCCAAATCTGACTTTGAACTCACTGAAATCCTCCTGCCTCAGCTTCCTGAGTGCTGTGGTTATAAGAACTAACTACTACGCCTGGCTTAGAAGAGTTATTTGATAATTTTTAATAATTTGGTCATATTTAGAAGGGTTTTATTAAATACTTTTCCCTTTGAATTTGAAGTCAGGAAGAAAAAAAATTACTCTCAAATTAAACATACCTAAATCAATAAAGTCAAATATTTTGAGTCCTTTGGTAAATAGTTCAAATGTAAGTCAATTTATACATAGAGATAAATGGACTGAGGCTCTGAGGGGCATATGTATGTAGATGGAGAAGTTCCTCAAAGACATCAGTGACTGTCCTCAAAACTGGAATACACTGATGGAAATGATGTCATAGACAGTAACAGACTGCCTAACATATTCGACCTGGGTCTGAGCAGGTTGTAGCCTTTAATATATATAATTTTTAATTTTGTGTGTGTATGTACAGGTGAGTGCTGGTGCCCTCAGAGGCCAGAGGTGTCAATCTCCTGGAGCTGGAGTCACAGGCCAAGGGGAGCTGCCTGATATGGGTGCTGGGAAACAGACTTGGGTCCTCTGCAGGAACAGTATGTATCTTAACTTCTGAGCCATCTCGCCAGCCCTAGGTTGTATGTCCTCTAAATGCTAAGAAACAGGGATTTTAGCTGGGTGGTGGTGGTGTGTGTGCCTTCAATCCCAGCACTTGGGATCAAGGGTGTGCACCACCACTGCAGCCTTGTCCTAACCCTCTGCTTGGTATGCTGACTGTGGTTTGTAACCTTGATTTGCACCTTTCTGGGCATGCCTATGAGGAAGGCTGAGCTGAGAACCCTGTGTAATCTGGCTTGCTGTTAACAGGCACGAACACTGTCAGAAGTTGAGTTCTGCTTCCTTTAGAGCGGGACAGCCCAGAGAGTGGAGATAGAGTCCTGTGACAAAGTTCCATGGTTAGCCCTGTAATGCTGAGGACCCTGTAATGTAATGAGCTCTGGATTAGCCTTGTAAAGGTGTGGGCAACAGAGTGGGCTTACCTGAAGCAGCCAGCCAGCTTCTTCTTCTTCTTCTTGTGTGTGGTTCATGTTGGCGAGGGTGCACACACACCGTGCATGTGCGTGTAGACCAGAGGACAACCTTGGGTGCTATTCCTCAGGAGCCACTGTTCAGTGTTTTTTGTTTCTTTTTTGTTGTTGTTTTTCGAGACAGGGTTTCTCTTTTCCTGGAACTCCCTCTGTAGACCAGGCTGGCCTAGAACTCACGAGATCTGCCTGCCTCTGCCTCCTGAGTGCTGGAATTAAAGGGGTGTGCTGTCATACCTTGGCTTTTGTTTTTTTGGAGAGGGTCTCTCCTTGGCTTAGAGCTCACAGGTTAAGCTGCTGGCCAGTGAGCCTCACTGATGTGCCTGTCTCTCCTCCCAGTGCTGGGTTATAGGCGTGTGCTGCCACAAGAGCCTTTTGACTTGGATGCTGGGGGCCTGAGCTGAGGTCCTCATGCCCGCATAGCAAGTCCTTCAAGGACTGAGGTGTCTCCCATTGCCTCAGTCCTCAGTCTCTTTTCTTTTCTTAGATGCAATAAAAACACCAAAATATGTAAATAAGTGAACCAGCAGCCACGGTGACACATCTGAAATGGTTTCAGTGAGCTGGTGGCAGGTTACCCATATGTAATACACATTCTGCCTGCCTTTCTCAGACCACTCCATTGTCTCAGCTTTCGTCCTGCAAAGGAAGAGAGGAGCCAGGTGGTGGTGGTGCACGCCTTTAATCCCAGCACTCCGGAGGCAGAGGCAGGAGGATTTCTGAGTCTGAGGCCAGCCTGGTCTACAGAGCGAGTTCTAGGACAGCCAGGGCTACACAGAGAAACCCTGTCTTGAAAAACAAAACAAAACTAAACAAGAGCAGAAGGAGCAAAAGAAAATGGCCGCAGAGGACCAACAGGGCTTCCTTTCTCTTCAAGAGTCAACCAGCTCAATGACCAGATTCAGCCTGGCTGATCTTTCCAACCAAGGTAAGTTTATTCCTTTTTGTATGTTTAAGTAATGCCTCCTCCCCCTTCCCACAGCTGCACACCCAAATGACTCTTGAGCAGCCAAACATGCTAGCTCTGCCTGCTCCTCATTATCACAGGCAGAGTCATCTCACCATGAAAGAATGTCAAGATAGGACCTGTGCAGGCAGCCTCTCCAGCTGCAAGGAAATGGTCAACAGTCACATGCGTATCTCCTCTAAATAGCACAGGACAATGAAAATGTGCAGAGTAGATGGAATTCATCCTCTTTCTTCTAACTGCACGTGCTTTGGGCCAGATGCAGGATGACTAATGGATGCTCTCTCTAGAAAGGTAGCCCTGAACATCCAAGTGCCCTGCACCATAAAACTACCTTAAAGCCTGCCATATTGCTAGCACCAAGGAGGCGGTGGAGCCACCTGCTGGGAGGTGTGTGGCCTTCGCTTCGGCTGCTTGGTCCCTCCCTGGCTTTTTCCATGTCCTATGAGCCAGGTCTATGGCAGGACCACGATCTTCTTCTCCAGCTTCTGGGGAGGGAACAGGAAGTTCCTCATGATCTCATCCAGCTCTTCCAGGGCCAGCTGGGCATGTAGCTTGGCCACATCATCAGGTTCCAAACGTACCACATGTTTCAGCAGGTGATAGAGATCCTTGAGGACATCGCTCAGCACCTGGATAAAGAGACAGGTCATGAGCACATCTACTGGGGAGCAATCTCAGGCTTCCTTGTGAAGATAATGCAGGGACCTTTCAACCTGGAGAAGGGAGAGCTAGTTGTGGCCCTTGGCCCACAAAGGATTCCTTTGTGTCTCTTGCCCGCAACACTTCACTATGGATTTTTAGGCTGCTCCTCATTATTTCCAGGCCCTAGTATAGCTCCTGGATCCTCCAGTCAAAGGGTAGCAGAGGCCTCAGGACAAAGACAAGCAGAGCTGCCTGGGCACAGATGCTTCTAGAGCGCTGCCTGCCTGCATTTCCTCAGGCCTCTGTGTGTGTGTGTACAGGCACACACTGAAGTCAGTTCTCGCCTTCCACCACGTGGATCCTGAGGGCAGAACCGAAGTCAGACGGCTTGGTGGCCAGCACCTTTACCCACTGGACCACCCCACCACCTGCTGGTTTTGTTCTTCTGAGATAGACGGGCCTCGAACTTGAGATACCTGTGCCTCATTCTTCTGAGGGTTACAGGTGTGCTTGATTCTAGTTTAAAATTTTTTAAGGCAAGCCGGGTGGTGGTGGTGCACGCCTTTAATCCCAGCACTTAGGAGGCAGAGGCAGGCGGAACTCTTTGAGTTCGAGGCTAGCCTGGGCTACAGAGTGAGTTCCAGGAAAGGTTCCAAAGCTACACAGAGAAACCCTGTCTTGAAAAAACAAAACAACAACAAAAAAACACCACACACACACACACACACACACACACACACACACACAAGATTTTAAGGCTGGGCATGGTGGCATAAGCCTTTAATCCCAGCACTCAGCAGACAGAAGCTGGCAGATCTCTGTGGTTCGCATGGGCACTGGGGAGGATGGGGTAAGACAGGGATCAGGGTTCCTCTGAAAAGCCTTAGGCCCTTCTCTCCCACACACGCCTCCCTCTGGCTGCCTGAGCTCTGGCTCTGTGGATCTTTATTCCTAAGCAGAGCTCCTTCTCTGATCCATGCCTTTGTACATGCTGTCCCTTTATGCTGGGAGGCTACTTCACGTCCTCTTTATCCTACACACACCCCAAAGCACCACTTCCAAGAGCTTTTTTCTCGAATGTCCACCAAGCTAAGTCTAACTAGCCTTGGATTCCATCTGTAGTCCCTATCACAATTATAATTGAAGTATTTGTTGTGATGCTGTTTTTCCATTTATGTTGGGGATTGATATTATGTAATTAAAAATGTTTTCCTCATTAGATCCCGACCACTACTGATGCCAAGGCCATGTCTTCCCTTCTTCCTCTAATGTGGCCCAGTACTTCATAAAATGAGTGCCATCCGGCAGATGCTGGAACACATTCATGACGGAAGGAACTCACACATGCCACTCCTGGCCAGCTTCTTCATTCTAACAACATCTACTGAGACAGTGCCACACAGCCAGTCTAGTCCCCCAAGGCCCATGCTGCCTGCTTTAATGACCTACTATCGAAATGTTAAAATTACTAATAACTTCTATTGGATTTATGGCTTGTACATGACATCCAGTGAGAGAATGGAGCAGGAACGTGAGCAGAGGAGACGCACACTGTCTCTCACAAATGCATTTTTGATTGTGGTCATTATGCCCTATGAACGCAGCACTGATAGGCTTACAGTGAAAGGGAGATCAGCCATCCCTGAAGCCAGAAGCAGGTTACTGTCTGTTACTCGTACAGCTGAACCAATGAAGGTCTAATGGCCTGGAGAGTTCCAGCTTTCCATTCTAGCTAGACCCTGTTCCCACCACACAAAGAAGGTAATAGTTTTATTTTTTTGGGTCTTGAGGCAGGGTTTCTCTGTGTAGTTTTGGTGCCTGTCCTGGAACTCCCTCTGTAGACCAGGCTGGCCTCCATTCACAGAGATACATCTGCTTCTGCCTCCCAAGCGCTGGGATTAAAGGCGTGTGCCACCATGCCCGGCTGATAATGGCTTTCTAAGAAAGACAGATGTCAGGGACCCTATGTAACATCCCTTCTTACTCATTCACTGTTTTGGTTTAGCCAAACATTTACACTAAAACCAGTGACAGAGAAGGAAGCAGGCCAGCCTATCATCCTTGCTCTTCTTGCCAGCCTAATGGAGGGACACAGTGCTGAGAGCAGGTGCGTGAGTCAGGAGGGGAAATGGCTGTGCTCTCGTGGGCAGTTTCTTCCATTTCTCAACGACGGAAATGCATATGCATGTGCAAGCTGTGGGATACACACTGCGTAATTTTGGTGATTCTGTGCAGCAGTTAAACACTCCTCTATTTGCATTTAAGATTGACATTGCACACAGTAAAGACGAGCTGTGAAAAGCGTGCAGTTATTTCACATTTCACTTTTTTTTCTCCTTAGAGCAACCTCAATCAACAGTAAACACCAGGACAACTGAGATTTTGGAAAAGAAAGGGGAAAACTGGATTTTACTATTATTACAGGCACTTCTGTCCTCTTTTTAAAAATGTTTTAAAATATGTATTTATTTGGGGCTGGAGAGATTGCTCAGCGGTCAAGAGCACTGGCTGCTTTCCCAGAGGTCCTGAGTTCAATTCCCAGCACCCACATGGTGGCTCACAACCATCTGTAATGAGATCTGGCGCCCTCTTCTGGCCTGCAGGTATACATACAAATAGAGTACTCATATACATTAAAAAAAAACATCAGTTTTTTTTTTAAAGATGTATTTATCTTATGTGTACGAGTGCTTTGCTTGCATGGATGTCCATGTATCACATGCATCCTGGAACTGGAGTAATAGGCAGTTGTAAGCTGCCATGTGGGTGCTAGGAATTGAACCCAGGTCCTCTGCAGGGACAGCCAAGTGTGCAACTGCTGAGCCATCCCTCTACCCTCTACCCTCCTTTTAATTGGGGCCTTGTATTCTGATTTTGCACGGGACACAGGTTTTATATGGTCAGTCCTGCCACATCTGTTCCCTTTCTGAGTGTTGCTCCATTAAGGACTGAGCCCCATGAGCCAAGCTCATCAAAATGCTGTGAGGCGTGTCCTGGACTTCGTCAAGGAGCCCACACATGACACACCAGGAGTAAGGCAGGCATCTGACCCTGGCTCTGCATTATCCACACTCTCCTGACCTGTCTCTTCCTCTTCCTCGGCAGAGTGAGATGAGAGGATTCCAGAAAGAGGAGGACTCTGCACCTTCAGCTTCTGCTCTCAGTTACTCACTCTCTCAAGAATCCTTATGAAGGGCCTGCACGGTACCCACAGTATACTGGTACTAAAATGATGACTAATCAATCCATGAACCTGTCCCTCTGGCAACCAAAGCCCAGTGAGGAGGCAGGCACACGCCGCCACACAGTGAGGTCTCTACTCTGAGAAGTAAACAGTGTGCTTGAGTATCTGGATCAAAGGAAGGTGTCGCCTTTGGAGGTGGATGGGAGAAGAGGAGCAACACCCAGCTGGTCAAAGAGGCTTCACTGTGACACTTACTGGGTGGAACCAAGTAATGGCTTTGGGATGCATTAGCAAGTCCCTTTACCATCTAGCCACATGAGATAAGGTAGTTTCTAAGCAAAAGTAGTTAAAAAGATTATATTCACATTATTATAATAAAAATTATTATATTTATTTGGTGTGTATAAATGTATGTGAATGCACATCTGTCATGACTAACACATGTGTGAAGTTGGGAGTCACTTCTCTCCTTATACCATGTAGGTCCCAGGGATTGAACTTGGGTCATCAGACTTGGCAGCAAATGCCCTTATCCACTGAGCCACCTTGCTGGCCCTGGCCTCCAGCTCTCTCTCTAGTCAAGGACGGCTTTGAACTCTTCTGCTGCTTTCTCCCAGAGGCCTAGAGGACAGGCATGTGCCATCCTGTCCCTTTTCCGCAGTGCAGGGATTGAACCCAGAGCTAGGCAGGCGCTCCGCCACCTGAGCTGAGCTCAGAGCCCTAAGAGATTTCTTTGTCCTACAGCCACCTACCATTCAAGGAAAGGCAGCTTTACCTCTTTAAAAGGGGAAGTTCTGAGGCACTCTGCTCTTCCTGGGGTGCGGGGAGGAATTTCCCCGGGCACTGCTATGTCCTTAAATAACAGAACTGCCTGTGCAAACACTGAATCCTTGCAGGGTGCTGAGCTCCTGTTAGCAGGCTCAGGACCTTTTTTTAGGTAAGTGAGTGTTAGGCAAAGCCTTCTTCTTAATTAATGGGTCCACCTTAGCAACCCACCCTGTGCAGATTCTCTCCAATCTCACACATCACAGGACTTCCTCTGCACTCCCCAAGGATCAAAGCTTCCTGCCAGCCAAGGATTGTCACCAAATCCTAAGGATCAGGGGCTGAATACAAGGGGAGTTCAAAGGTAAAGTTATTCACAGGAGCCTCTGAGGTGGGCAGGATACAAGCAGTCCTATAGAGGAACCCTCTCAATTAAGACTTCAACACACCTGCACACACACACACACACACACACACACACACACACACACACACACAGACACACACACACACACCACGGCTTCAAGCTCCCTGCCCACCTCCCAATCAAGCCCAAAAGCTCCATGAGAGGAAGAGGGGCATAGGTGTGTGCTCATTGGGGAGAGAGGCGCCTCTTCTCATTCAGGAGGGACTCAGAGTAGCAGGTGGCTGACAAGTACTTTATTTTTGGAGAAGCTCTTTGTGGTTTGGGGGGAGTTTATTTTGGTGTTGGAGATTTCACACAGGCAACATACCTAATGCTAAACATGTCCTCTACCAATGAGCTGCACACACACCCCCATCCCCAACCCCACCCCAGCCCCTAGGTCAGGGACAGCTTAAAGAAGCACCCGGATTCCTTGTGTGAAAACTCTTGCCTCACCCAGGGTCCGTACCACACACATCCATTTTCCCACCCCTCCCGCAGGCTACCTTCCGGGTTTCAGTGACAAGGGCGGTGTTTGGGGTTAGTGTGGTTGAGAAGGGAGCAAAGGAGGCTTACTAAAAAGAACATTGTGAGCAGGACTGCCTTGGGCATACAGGTGCACCTTCAAATGGAAAAAGCAAAGAAACAGCCACTGACTCTTTCCTGCAAAGCTGTGTCTTTAAGATCAAAAGAAGAAATAAAAGGCAGGTATTCTTCTTTTAGATCCTAAATATGTTTATTTATTTGGTTATAAAAGCCACATAACCACAATTCAGAGTATTTGGAAACTACAGGAAGGAAAAAAAACCATCTCTAGCCAGACTACCTTTTTAACACAAGATGCATTAGTGAGGGCACTCAGTAGTGGGCACACAGACGTGCACGTGCACACACACATTTTTGTTTGTTTGTTTGGTTGGTTGGTTTTTAGAGACAGGGTCTCTCTAGTTTTGGAGCCTGTCCTGGATCTCACTCTGTAGACCAGGCTGGCCTCAAACTCATAGAGATCCACCTGCCTCTGCCTCCCGAGTGCTGGGACTGTGCGCCACTACCGCCCGGCTCTTTTTTTTTTTTTTTTCTCCTGAGACAAGGTTGCGCTATGTAGCCTTGGCAGCCTAGAATTTGCTATGTAGGCCTTTGCCTTCCCGGTGTTGGTATTAAAGATGTATTCCAGTGAGATTTATACATACACATACACAGTGTGTAAATATATGATTTGTTTTAATATGTGTACGCCTTACTTTATCTGTATGGGTGTCTGTATGGACATTTTGTCTCACGTATGTCTGTGCACCACATGTGGGCAATGCCCTCAGAAGCTAGACTTTCAGGAACTGGAGTTTCAGACAGAGGGTTGTAAGAGGCCATGTGGGTGATGGGAATTGAATTTGGGTCCTCTGGAAGGAGAGCCAGTGCTCTTAACCCCTGAGCCATCTCTCCAACCCCCACTTTTATTTTATTTTTTAAAATATTTTAAATATAAGGGAGAGGAATGGAAGCAGGGAGACAAAATACCAGTTTTCATTCATGTGTAGTGTGTATATGTCATGTGAAAGCAGAGGGGAGCTTTTTGTGGGGTGAGGGCTAGAGGAGAGGTGGGGAGGGCAGTAGGGGTGAATAAAGAAAAGATCATGCAGGCTGGGGAACTGGCTGGGAGCACCACAGCTCTGTAGAGGACCAGTATCGATTCCCAGCACCCGCTTGATGACTCACAGCCATCTGTAACTCCAGGTCTAGGAAATACAACTCTCTCTTCTGTGGTCCACAGACATATATGCAGTGAAACATTCATACACAGTGGGTTTGAGGCAATCTGGGTTGCATCAGATACTTTCTGAAAAAACAAACAAAAAGACAAGACAGTTTTTCTTTCATGTGGGTTTGTGTGTATGTATGTTCCTGTGTGTGCATATACATGTGGGGGTCAGAGGATAACCTTGTGTGGCATTCATCAGGAGTTACTTGCTTTTTTTTGCAGACAGATCCTGGAGATCACCAAACTCACTATGCTGCCTGGCCAGTGAGCCCCAAGGATCTATCCAGCTGTTTCCACCTTCCCAGTTCAGGTATTACAATCACACGCCAGTACACCCGGCTTTTCTGGGAGGGGTTCTGGCAGTTGAACTCAGGTATTACCTACTGGGCTATTGCTTTTTCTCTTTCTCATACAGGGTTTCTCTGTGTAACAGCCCTGGCTGTCCTGGAACTTGCTCTGTAGACCAGGCTGGCCTTGAACTCAGCCTGGTGGGATTAAAGGCGTGTGCTACCGCTGCCTGGCTATTTTTTATTTTATTTTATTTTATTTTATTTTATGTATAAGTGTTTTGGCTGCATGTATGTCTGTGTACCATATGCATGCCTGGTGCCCATAAAAGCCAGGAGAGGATATTGGATCTCCTAGAACTGGAGTTACAGATGGTTGCGAACCACCATGTGAGTGTTGGTACCTGAACTTGGGTCCTCTGGAAGAGTAGCCAGCACTCTTAACCATTGAGACATCTCTCCATTCCCTCCCCTCAACTTTAAGAGTTATCTTTATTTACGTGTGTGTGTGTGTGTGTGTGTGTGTGTGTGTGTGTGTGTGTGTGTGTGAAGGCCAGAAGAGAATATTGTATCTGTTGGAGCTGGAGTATGAGGCATTTATGACCTGCCCAGCATGGGTGTGGAAACTGAACTCACGTCCTCCGGAAGAACAGTGAGAGCTCTAACTTAACTGTTCAGCCATTTCTTTGGGCCAAGAAAAACAAAATCTTAAAAAATTATTTTAATAGGTAAGAATTAAATTAAAGGTGATTTTACTAATGGAACGGAGGTGAACAAGGAGGTTGTTCTTCAGTTCTTTCTTCTTTTTTTTTTTTTTTGATTTTTTTGAGACAGGGTTTCTCTGTGTAGCTTTGTGCCTTTCCTGGATCTCACTCTGTAGCCCAGGCTGGCCTCGAACTCACAGAGATCCGCAGGGCTCTGCCTCCCGAGTGCTGGGATTAAAGGCATGAGCCACCACCGCCCGGCTGTTCTTCAGTTCTTATCATGTGTGTGTAATAGTTTAGCTCCCGAATACCACATAAAACCAGGTACAGTGATGCACACCTATAATCTCAGCACTTGCGGGGAGGTAGGGGCAGGAGGGTTATCCTCAGCTATAGAGCAAGTTTGGGCTAGTTGCAGAGATATATATGGCCCTGTCTCAAACAACAAAATAATAAAAATCGTCATACAAGCACTCAGGAAAGAGTAACTGGAGTTACGGGAGGCTGTGAGCCTCCATGTTGGTGCTGGGAAACCAACCCATATGCTCTGCATGGACAATTAATGATCTTAACCACTGAGCCATCTCACTAGCCTGCTCACACACACTAAACTCGAACTCACAGAGATCCACCTGGTCTGCCTCCCGAGTGCTGGGATTAAAGGTGTGCGTCACTATCGCCTGGCTGTTCTTCAGTTCTTACCATGTGGATCAAGAACTGTGTACACTAAAACTCCACACAAAATTTTTTATTTTATTGTTTTATGTGTATGAATGTTATTGCCTGCATGCATGTGTATGTACTGTGTGTGTGTGCCTGGTGCCCACAGAGGTTGGAAGAGGGTATTAGATCCCCTGGGACTGGAGTTACAGACAGTTGTGAGCTGCCATGTGGGTTCTGCAAGAACAACATGTGATCTTCACCACTGAGCCAACCCTCTAGGCCCCTGAAGAGACTCTTCAAAGGAGTCGTGGTGGTGATGGCTCCGCACGTAAAGCCACTGACTGCTGAGCCTGGAAACCTGGGTCTGACCCTGGGACCGACAATTCCCAGAAACTGTCCTCTGACCTCCATGGGAGCCATGGCTTCCTACACTAAAGAAGGAATAAAAAGTCCTAATAAAAGGAAAGCCACTATTATCATCTCCAGTTTCCCAGGGCCCCATGGCTATGGCGGATAGAAGAGCCTCAGTGGTACTGAGTGGAGACGCGACTCTACTAATCACTCGCCGGTGTAGTCCCTCGGTTATCCTTTCATCACTACGGACAAGTGGGCAGAGACACAGCCACTGCTTCCCTCACACACCTGCTGTAGGCTCCAGCAGAGAGAACGTCTGTGGGAATATTTTGCTGTCCTAAGCAAGATGATATAAAGGAAAGTATTCTTATTACCAGCACACGGAGAAAGCCTGGCTTGACATCAGGGCCAAAGACACAGCTCTGAAGACAGCAGACACCCCAAATATGAGCAGGCAGAGAAGGAAAGGGGTGTTGGGGCGAGACAGGGTGAGCAAGCCAAGAAAACAGGCTTATTTCTTATTTCTTTGCTTTTTGTAACTAAAGAGTATTTACTTATTTCCCACTAAGGCTTTATTTATGTGTCACCGTTCACCACACCTTGAAGGATTGGTACAGTGAATGTTTTATGTGCGACACAGATACAGGTTAATTCTTTATATTTATTTATTCGGCATGTATTATGCATGTGGGTGTGCATTTGCCATGATAGAGGTTCTCTTTTTTTTTTTTGGTTTTTCGAGACAGGGTTTCTCTGTGTAGCTTTGCGCCTTTCCTGGAACTCACTTGGTAGCCCAGGCTGGCCTCGAACTCACAGAGATCCGCCTGGCTCTGCCTCCCGAGTGCTGGGATTAAAGGCGTGCGCCACCACCGCCCGGCGAGGTTCTCTTTTTCTACCACGTAGGCTCCAGGGATTAAACTCACATGTCAGGTTTAGTGGCAAGTGCTTATATGCGCCTTTACCCTCTGAACTGTCTTAATGTTCCCTTACTCCCGTAAATTAAAAATCGTATTCATTTCATTTTTAACTATATGTGTGTAGGTGCCCACTGCCAAGGCCAGAGCTGTGAGATCCTGTGAAGCTGGATTTACAGGCAGTTGTGAGCTGTCCAACGTGGGTGCCGGGAATTGAACTTGGGTCCTCTGAATGAGTAGCATGTGCTCTTAACTACTGAGCCATCTCTCTCTCTAGACCCTAAACTTTATTTATGTATTAATAGTTATTACTGTTTTGGTTTTCTGAGGTAGGGTATTTCTATTATGTAGCTCGGCTGTTGTGGAACTCTCTGTAGACCAGGCTGGCCTCAAACTCAGAGATCCGCCCACCAGTGCTGGGATTAAAGGTGCATGCCACCATGCCCAGTTTATTATTACTGTATGTAAATGATGTGGATGGATGTGCAGAGAGGTCAGAGGATAACTTTGTGGATTGGTTCTCTCCACTTTTAAGTACATTCTGGAGATCAAACTCCGGGCACCATTCTCGATTAGGGAATGCCTGTCACCTGCTAAGCCATCCCACCAGTCAGTTAATGTTATAATGCATATATGAGCTGGACGGTGGTGGTGCATGCCTTTAATCCCAGCACTCGGGAGGCAGAAGCAGGCGGATCTCTGTGAGTCTGAGGTCAGCCTGGTCTACAGAGTGAGTTCCAGGGCTTCCAGGCTTACACAGAGAAACTGTGACTCAAAAAACAACGAAAGGGGTTGGGGGTTTAGCTCAGTGGTAAAGCACTTGCCTAGCAAGCGCAAGGCCCTGGGTTCGGTCCTCAGCTCCGGGGGGAAAAAAAACCAAAAAACACCCAACCAACCAAACAACCAACCAACCAACCAACCAACCAAACAACAACAACAAAGCAAAACAAAAAGCAGATATGAAATTCAAAGGAGTGCAACCAATACTGACTCACAAAGAAGAACTTCTGTCTAAATCATCATTAGAATGTTTAAAAAGAAAGAAAAAAAAAACAGAGAGACAGGAGGTTTAGATGGAAAAGAGCTTTACATTTCATTTAATATGTTCAATTTCCACTTGGGTGTAACAAACGACACAGGATTACTGTAACACAGAACAGCCCCCAGCGAGCTGTGCACCTTGGGAACAAAGCTGTAGTGCAGTCCTGGGCCAGTGTGGGTCAGGTGGTAGTGGCGTGTATCACACTGCAACATCTGATGGTGCTGCTGTGCAGAACTGAGGGCACTGGGGGGATTCTGCTGGGCCAGCAGGAAGAACTGACTCCAAGCCTGCAAGCAGGCAGCCGCTCCGCGATAATGGGAAGGGAACAGTTGGGGAAGCCAAATGGAGGCAGCTGCCTGGCCCAGATGCTTTACTGATAAAACCTGAAGCTTCTCTTTGATAGGTCTATGAAAAAGAAATCAGGGCTGACTCAAACAGCAAGGCCAAGCTTTTGAGACACTGCATTGAGAATCCAGGGAAGTCAGCAAAGAAGGCAGGATTATTGACATCTAAGGGATTCTATCCATGCCTGACGGATAGAGAACACAGACTCCCTAAAGCCCAGGCTGCCACTGAATTACCTGGGGGGTACTGAACCTTTCAGAAAGCATTTATTTTCACTGTGGAGGGGGGGAGAATCTCGTGTGAACTGCAGATGGGGTGGAAGGCGACAGGAGGATCTGCATGATTGTCTCTGAAGGGGGGAAATTAACTGGTCAAGTGAGAAAAACGCTCTAGGGATGCAGACAGGTGAGACGGCGCAGGGACACAGACCAAAGCGGCAGCTGGCGTAAGCCCTGGTAGGGACGACGGCTCAGGGGTCCTAAACAAAAGGTAGGCAGCAAGACTCCCCAGGTCTAATGTGTGTGCTTCTGGGCTAGTTCTTGCTAAGGCACTCCACCCAAGGTTTCGGGGGTCACAGGCCATGCAGCCCACTGTGGCGGGGACAGGAGCAGCAGCTGTCACAGAGGTGGGAACAGCGGTGGCAGCATCTTTCAGAATGCCTTTAAATAGCAACACAGGGAAGGCAGCAGCTTTCCTGCACCTCCACAGGCACCGAAATAGAACAAAGGCGGCAGGGAAAATGGCCAGAGCCTGTGCAAAGACGGCAGCTGCTGCTGCTGCTGCTGCTGGGGAGAGACTGGCAGCACCTGAGAGCGCCATGACAGACTCGCCCTCCAAAGGGCACTCAACTGCCACATCTGGAGACAGGCTTTATTGTTTCCAACCCCCAGGATCACTATGCAG